CATTGCCATACAGCCTGAAAAAACCTACGACAACCCAGTGATTCTGGCCATGAAAGCCTTCGACAATACATATTAAGGGAACTAGTTGGGACTTTACGATGCGGGTAGAATACAAACAGTTCAAGCACAGACCATTTAAAGGAACATTGAGCTTAATTTGCACTGCAGGCAATATATATATATATATATATATATATATATATATATATATATATATATATGTTATTTACATCAGGTGGTCTTTTATCTGCAGAAACATTACAAATCCAAGAGACCAGAAGTCCAAGAGACCAGTAATCAATTACCCTTCCCACGTCTCGTAAATTCAAGGCTATGGCTTCTGTACTGACTCAATCTATCAATAGTGTGGTCTTTAGTAAGTTTGATCTGCCTTCCACTTTACCAAGCATTACACTAGCTAAAGAAGTCTAAGTATTTTCTCGTTCTGCTGGCACTTACCCTGCTGCTAGCAGGGTAACAAACATAACTAACCCAAGCAACACTTGGCCATTATTATATTATAATGCATTGTGTGAGGAGTGTTGCAAAACAATTAATGTATTGGCTTGCAAAGCCATTAGGAGAATTTGTGCAAGAGTATTGGAATGCAACAAAGAAAGACCTGTGCAACACTAGGGTACCATTTTATGAAACAATATGTACAAGGATTTGTGGAGCACCTTGTGAAACTATTGGTGAAAGAGCAAGTTCAGCAGAATTGAAGTATGGAGTTGATGCCTGAACAAAGCTAAAGAGTGGGGTTTTGCAGGTTTGGGATGTCACTGTTGGAAACCATCGTTTCTTTAATTGTGAAGCAGCACAATTGCTTTCATGACCTCCCTGTGTAGGCTTCCAGTTGCTGTGGAAAATAGGATACTAGAGATCCATGGCTCATGGAAGGAGCATGTGCCTTTTGCACATTGAAGTCAACTGTTCACTCACTAGCAACTGGATGTTTTGGAGTTCTATATTGCCACTGCCTGCTTGTGTTGACAGCCTTGGCTAGACAAATTGAGACTCTTTAATAGCATAAACGGTTTTCCTACCTTGCTTTGATACAGCGGTGCCCTTGTGTTCTTAAAGATATTTTGCCTATTGAGTAACACCCAGCTTTCAAGATACGGAATTTAAGTTTAGGTAGAATAAGAAAGGGTTGGCATATTGAAAATAAAGAACAATGTTAGCAATGCCAATTATTTTTAATTGGTAATTATAGTACAAACAATTGTAGATAGTTAATAAATAGATGCATCTCAAATTCAACAGATTGTTGCAAGCTATAGTGCACGTACTCGTTATGCTTACTGTTGTTCCACTGCCTTGACTATAGCCCACTCAGTGATTTGTGTACTACAGCTCCTTTCTTAGTTGTAGAATTTCTTTCAGGCGCTCACACATAATATAAGGACTGGAGAGAGAATTCTGAATGATGGGCAAATAGTAACCAGTTGGTTTCCTTGTTGCCCTGCAGCTTGTCTTCCATTCCTGGATAATTGGCCTGTGTTACCATAGGTCATTCCCATTCCCTTGATCATATCATCACATGCTGATTGCAAGACTTTGTAATTAGGATGGTAAATTAATGCATTCTCTCATTATGAGAGGTCAGAGGTTTGGTCACAGTGAAAAACGTGTGTCTGGAGCTAATAGGTTCCAGCAGTGAATTAATATGAATACATTTGTCATGCTCACACTTTTTACGTCATCCATCTACCCATGAGAACATCTGGTATTTTGAAAAGGCACACTTTGCATTAAAATTAGCATGTATGGGTCATATATTTTAAAAAATGCTTAGAATGTACTATTACTGTACATGTGCATAGGTTATGAGTCTGTAACCAGAGGTATTTCCTTTCTACCTTCAATTTTTGGATTCTGTGCCTTAGGGGAACGAGCCAGCCAATAGAAAGTTAGAGAGCTAGTTGGAAATTGTCTAAAGATGGAATTTGCAGTTCAGCAGCTAGAGAATCTACACACTCATCCTTTTAAAAGGAAAAAAAGAAACACCATAATCACATATATCATCACATTTATGTTTGGATTCTATGCTGTCATAGATAGTGTGTACCTGGAATGCATTAAACATAAGCCAACAATGTGATGCGGTGGCAAAAAAAAACCCCAATGGGATTTTGCCCTGCATAAATAGGAGTAGTGTCTAGATCCAGGGAAGTCATGCTACCGCTCTATTCTGCCTGGTCAGACCACACCTGTAATACTGTGTCCAATTCTGGGAGATGTTGATAGGCTGGAATGTGTCCAGAGAAGGGCGACTAAAATGATGAAGGATCTGGAGAACAAGCCCTATGAGAAGTGGCTTAAAGAGCTGGGCATGTTTAGCCTGAAGAAGAGAAGGCTGAGAGGAGACATGATGAGGGCCATGTATAAATATGCGAGGGGAAGTCATAGGGAGGAGAGAGCAGGCTTGTTTTCTGCTGCCCTGGAGACTAGGACGCAGAACAATGTTTTTGAACTACAGGAAAGGAGATTCCACCTGAACATTAGGAAGAACTTCCTGTGAGAGGTGTTCAGTAGTGGAACTCTTTGCTTCAAAGTGTGCTGGAGGCTCCTTCTTTGAGGCTTTTAAGCAGAGGCTGGATGGCCATCTGTCAGGGGTGCTTTGAATGCGATTTTCCTGCTTCTTTGGCAGAGGGTTGGACTGGATGGCTCACAAGGTCTCTTCCAACTCCATGATTCTATTGGGTATATCCAGTAGCCACAATACACACTGTTTCAAATCAGTCAAAGCAATTCAATGCAGAAGCAAAAATATTATTCAATAAATGCCTTTTAAGCAAGAAAAGGTGACATATAAATAATAAATCTGCAAAACAGGTTACAGAGCATCTGAGGTTAGGCTGGATTTTAAAAATCATCGAAGTTATATCAGTTTGTAGCACCCTGATTTCACCCTTTTGCCAATACTATTTGATGTATGTTTTATATGGCACATTTTTATAAAAGGTTAATCTTGCCTGGTTTCGCGTCTTTATTGACAAGGAATATAACTAAGGGATTTTATAATTCAAAAACATCACAAGGTTATCAGCATAAGATAAACTTTCCTGTATAGATCTTATGTATATTCAAGGTTTGGGCGTCTTTAGTCAAAAGTTCTCAATGTGAGTCTTATCATGACTTTTAGCAACCAAATCTTGCTTCCTTACCACCAAAATATCTTGTGAGGCTCCACACATAAGTAACTCACCAAGAAATTCATATACAATTCAAACACTATTCTTTGTATATATTGACTTTTGGTCAACTTTTCCAAAGTCATTAAGGAAGAAAGAGAATCCAGTTAACAAGGTGATGACAATCACCTTGTTAACTGAATGTTAACTGGTCTTAATTTGAAGATTTCGTTGCAGTTCTCAGCACATTGGTTAACCATGCCCAGGACATGTAGTTCTCAGCTACTGTCAATAGGCTTTCAAAACTCACTTTTGGTACCAATTTTGACCAAATTCATCTCAAATAACTTCTTGTACTCACCCCAAGTAGCATTATCATACTTATAATCGTGTGATTTTTTTAAAAAAAAAACTAGGCTGAAAACCGATGTTTATTTTTAAAACTGTCCACAATGCATTATGAAACAAGGACCATACATAATGCAGTAGTGTTCTGGAAGTTAAACAGGTATAATTTGATTAGTATCTTGATTGCAAACCAACAGTAAACTGTATAAATGTGGCTTCGTTTTCCATAGTGGAAGGTAGGGTGTAATCACAGCAGGCCTAATTAATACAATTAAAATAAGCTTGATAAAATATCTTATAATTTTTATTATTCTGTTGCTATAAAATGCTGCCCTGAACAGATAGACGAGTCTCTCATGTAATATGCAAGCAATCTAATGTATTACAATCTCAATATGAAACTGGTGGGAAGAAATGAAATACTTTAGTTTTTGCCTACTGCTTCATTTATACAAGGCAGACCCCTTCTCAAAACAATAGGGAAAAAACCTGGGATGTCTTTGGAATTCCTGGCATTTTTCCATTTCCAGCTGCAGATGCTAATCCTTCTTCCCATTTTTTCTATCCAGGGCCTCCCACAAAGTACACTCTACTGTCCTGGTCCAACTTGGAAGACAGTATTGCAACATGTTTGCATGCAATCATATTGCATAGAAAGCTCAGTCAAATAATGCAAGAATGTCTTATTCAGTGGTTCTCTATCCTTGGTCCTTCAGATGTTTTGGACCAACTCCCAGAAATCCCAGCCAGCTTATCAGCAGTTAGGAATTGCTGAAATCCAAAACACCTGGAGGACCAAAGGTTGAGAAACTCTGCCTTATACTATACACATCTTTCCCACAGAGACTGGTATATCCCTGTTTGTTTGTTTAGCAATGATGAAATAGTCAAGTCAAATACTAAACACTTTTCTCAACAAATTAAATGCACACACAGAAAACACGTAACAATTGAGCTTGAGTACCCAATTTCATTTCTGTAAACCTAAAAAATGGCTTAAATAAGCAATTGCTAATAGTAGAAAAATGCAGGAGTGGTTTGCATTACATATGTGTGAGCACAAACAGTACATGCTCAATGTCTTGTAGCAGTGGAGAGCATACACTAATATCAATTCCTTAAGATTTCATTATGAAAGCCATTTTCATAGTTCTATTAATGTAGGTTGATAAAAAAATACTTCTCTAAAAACCTGGCTGGGTGATTACTAACAATATTCTGGGCATGTATCTAGTAAGAAACAGTTTTTATTATCAATTTTAGGACATATTTGTTTGCACTTTTATTTGACAGTAATTCAGTGCAGAGGAGAGAACAGAAGAAGTGAAAGGAGTATTGAAAGTGGCAAAACAAGTCACCACCCAATACACACAGTGACCAGGCCAATCATGATTATGTTTGTTTGTTCAGTGCATGAATTGCTATGAATTAATTTGTCCTACATCATCCTTGCCTCATCAAAATGAAAGAATTGACTTCATTGTAAAGAGAAATCAATTTATAAACAACAGTCCATGAAGTCTGAAAAATAGGTTTATTTTAAAACCAGTGGCATTGTGGGATTTCCTATATGGCATAACCAGTTACAGCAAAGTTACTAGATACATAAAAAATATGCAGAACGTTTCTTTACAGTGTGTACTTTCTGTCCAGAGTTCAGGCAGTAGAACAGCATCACACTAGCGACAAGGATTGCACTCCACAGGGGCTCCCATACAGTCTCTTCTTTGAGATAATCCCACTCATAAATATATCTCAAATTCTTTTTGTTGTACATCTGCATGAAAGTCACATGGCAGCTTACACATATAATGACAGAGAAAAATAATCATGTATGTTTTACAGAGTATATCTACATTTCCATCTGAATACTCAAGACTGTACGTCCAGTAGAAGAGCTGATTTTGTTTGGTCTTAAGAAGGCCTCCAAGCAAAACGCATGAAGGAATGCTGCTCTCTGGACCCCAAGCCCAAGTTTCTTTACAACGGGACGGACCTGAAGGGAGATCACTAGAAAGGAAGGATCTGATGGCTTTATTATTCACATGCCTTTTTCACTTTCACGGCTTCTCTGTACAAAAGGGATAAATACACAAAAATCCCACATCCATTTGAACAACAAAAATACTGCAAAGCTTTACACTCTTTCAGAGACAGGCATACAGTCCATGCATGATACCTGCATTTATATAAATTTCAGAAAATATTTTAAAAATAGGATCTTGGATACCTAAAATACCTGATGAACACAAAATACTTGAACCGGTGCCCCCGAAGCCCACAAAATTCATAAGTAGGGAAATTTCAAGGTTACTTGATTTCTATCATCTAGGAATACAATGGTGTGAATCTTGTTCTGAGTTAATGCAAGCTGATAAAACAATTTATTTTTTAAAGCCCCCTAAGGAAGCTCACAGAAAGGTGCATATTCATCAGCACCCTTTCATCAAAAAGTGCCCACAATGTCAACATTAAGTGTAATAAAAACATATGGATGCTGTGATTCCTCATGACACTATGATATTGAACGCAGCAATTATTAAGCTGATTTACCTCCCCAGGGCCTCTTCCAAGGAAATACAAGCAAGCCCTACAATGAACACATATCACAATATACACACATGCCACATTAAGAAGATACAAAAATATAACAGGCAGCTTGATGGAACCTGCTGCTGAAAGATCTCAGGGCTGGGCAGCACAGAAAGGCAAATGACAAAATCCAATTAATATGGGAATACATCATATCACTGAAAGAGATGCATTTTGGCCATAGCCACCAGTTAGTAATACATGAATCCTGTGACTCAGACCCTTGGAAGCAGCAAGCTTACAGGTCCACTATACAGAGGACTAACACAGACTCTATTTTCCCTTAGTAATTTAAGGCACAAACTTCTTTTTTTACACTGTTTCAGACAAGAAGCTCCCAAGAGACAGCCCTTCATGGCATCATCCTTCCTGCTATACAAATACTGGGAAGAAAAGCAGCTGGCATGGCATGGAATGGAAAGACATCCCTTACCCTCTCTTCTCTCATTCTAAAAAGCAGAGGGCACAGTTCAAGTAATAGTTCAGCTTGCATTATCCAAGTCTCATCTGGGTAGAAGAGCCATTTAATGGCAAGAAATTACTACTGAGAATTTGAAATCTCAGCTTCCCTGCATAATGTCTGCCTTGACCCGGAGCAGTGAAAGCTGGTTGCCAACAGTAAAGGCTAAAAAGCAATCAAACAGGTTTTCAGAAGCATGTCCCAAACTGTATACAAAAATACAAGAGAACATGCAAATTATTTATACAGTTACTGCATAAATACTTTTCTCCAAATCTTCGTTCTCATCCCCTTCAACTCCTCCATTCAACATACACAAAAACACACAACCCCCCTCCCCCTCCACCAAGGAGAATCTTCACGGCAAGAGGCACTTGTATGATATGTGGAGAATCCTCATGGGAAAGGCCTTCTCCTCACAGTGATATGGAACAAAGACAAACAGATTCTCAGGACTCCATTTCCTCTTGGTCAAGCGGTGGTGGCACAAAGCTAACTACTTCATCATAGGTCAGGCCTAGAGGAAAAAGAGATACACACTTTAGCTAACAATTATCAGCCCACCTCCCACTCTGAGATGTATTCACTCAAATTTATTTCAGTTGTTAGAATCAACTATACCTCTCAAATAAGTGCTAAGTGATTTCATGGGCTGGCACTGGGCTATTATATTGACTATGTTTTTGTGAGCATCAATCCATGTTAGCACTCACTTGAAGCAAGAGCCAGCCTCACTCCGATTTGATTGTGAACTCACTTAGGCAACAAATTAATTGCCCAATAACATTATGCTGCCCATATAAATTCTTAAGACAATCACATTTATCAGATAGAAAGCCATGCTTCCATTAATAAAATAATAATAATAATAATAATAATAATAATAATAATAACTTTATTTTTGTACCCCACCTCCATCTCCCCGAAGAGACTTGGGCAGCTTACATGGGGCAAAACCCAATCAAGAAAGTTAAAATGTAGCACATTAAAATACATAACTACAGTGTAAAACAACAACATTGTAAACAATATAAAACAGGCCACCTCCCACTTTTTCTCAAGGCACAGAATTTCCAGACGAGGGAAACCATTGTAAATTGTGAATCTTTTACTCTTTCTTAAAAGTGCACCACCAGTAAAACTCACTAGGCCATAGACTCATTATTTTCATAATATTCAACTGCAAAAGTACTATTTCCCTCCACAAACAAGAATTATAGTGTTGAAAGGACAGTACTATTGGATTATTGTTCTTACATCATGATATATAAATATACCATCAATAAGTGGCATTTGCCAAGACTTGGTTCGCCAGCACAGTCTTCCCAAGCTACTTACTTTTCCATTCCTCTATATCCAGTTCTCTGCTTTCAAAAGACTGATCGTAGGGATCTGCCACTGGTTCATCTTCTGGGTCATGATACTGAGCAAAATAAGTATGAGCCAAAGCTTCAGCAGCAGTAATTCGTTTGTCTGTGTCCAGCACAAGCATCTTCTCCAACAGGTCCACAGCTTCAGGAACAGCATGACAAAAAGAAGAGGAAGAAGAAGAGGAGGAGGAGGTGAGGGGAGCAGGGTGGTGGTGTTTAAATATTAAAAGTTATTTTAAAAATTCAGCTGGATCAGAATTCATAGTTTGTAATGTGAGAAATATCTATGGTTCCTAATGACAGTAGTCCAGCTTTCAAGGTTTACTTGGGAAGTTTATTTATTTATTTATTTAAAACATTTATATTCCACCCTTCTAACCCTGAAGGGGACTCAGGGCGGAGCACTCCATATACACGGCAAACATTCAATGCCGAGACACAAATTCACATACAGTATATAAACATTAAACAACATTTATCAAAATATTAAAATACACAATTGAAAACCATCCTAGTCATCCGCATCAAATCTAATTGGCTTGGTCATCTTTCCTATTGCTGCTTTATTGCCCTGTCCCGAAAGCTTGGTCCCACAGCCAAGTTTTTACCATCCTTCTAAAGGACAGGAGGGAGGGGGCCGACCTGATCTCACCAGGAAGGGAGTTCAATAGCCGGGGAGCAATCACCGAAAAGGCCCTGTCTCTTGTCCCCATCAATCGTGCCTGTGACAATGGCGGGACGGAAAGCAGGGCCTCCCCAGAGGATCTTAATCTCCATGATGGTTCATAGGAGGAGATGCATTCAGACCAGTAATTTGGGCCGGGGCCATTTAATGTAATAATGTTGCACTAAGATATATGCTCTGGTATTTCAAGCATGGTATTGACAACTCTGATTAGAAATGGCTCACTAGGATTTCTGCCAGGAATCTTTTTTTACCTTTTTGGAGATCCCAAAAGGCTGGGTGGACTCCCACATAATACTAAATAAGCCCGACCCTGTTTCACTTTCAAAATCAGACAAGATTGGAGGTCTTTACGGTGATATGATAGGATTGCTTCAAAGCATGCCCCTATAGCACCATTTTGCCCTACAAAAGGCTCGCAAGCAACAATTTTGAGGGGACACTTTTGGATTTCACTTTAGATATGAAACTATAACCTAAACATGGTTGAAGAACTGAATTCTATAACAAGAATAAGTCAATATTTTAATTATTAAATCATATATACAACAAAACTGAAAAGTTAGCAAGAAACAAAAAAAAACTGTCATCAGAATTTTGTTTCGGAAGGCAATTCTATCTAGAAGCCCTTCAGAACCAATGACTTAACCGTATCTCCACTTTATGAACAAGTAACATTATCTTAATGCTTCAAACTGTACTTTTCAAACAACAATGAAATAGCCAATAATCTTACCCAGTGGATTGGCACCAATAAATACATTTTCAAAATTCATCTTCGGCATATAAGACAATGACTGTATGTAGTTCCTTGCCTGAGAGGAAAGAGGAAAATGCAACAATTTTAAGTTTTACCTTCTAATGAGTATTTATGTGTGATTTTTCTTATGAATATATTTTTGAGAAGTACTTATTTTAGATCATCTCATTTAGATACTCACCAGAGTGATGTGATTGCTGTTAACAACAAGTGCTAAAATTTAGGCTTTATGAGTTAAATAATACTGGATGAGCATGGTTATCTATATAGTAGTGGTCTGCCAAACAAGGATGAGCTCTGTAGGGCAGCAGTTGCACCTACATACACCTAATATAGCTGAACACTAACTCAGCACAAATGGTACTGATGAAACATGCTAAAAAATGAATGCCATTCAAATTTTCTTTCAATCAGCTAATAATGAAATGTCAGTAGAGCTAACTAGGCAACCTAAGACCATGGTATTGCATGAAGACAGTGTCCTCAAAAAAAGAGAGCATTTTACTAGTTAAGGTTGCCTTAATAACAGCTACCCAAACTGGAGGAGGGTATCTTTGTCTTAATTGCACAAGTTCAGGCTATAAGGACTTTTAATATTATAAGGTGTTATAGATATGCTTGCCTTTGAAAGTGACTCAGAAACCTTCAACTAGTAAGGAGAACTGTTTTGAGTCCCCCCAAGGGTGAGAAAGGCGGTATATAAATACTGTAAATAAATAAATAAATAAATAAATCTGAGAATGCTTGTAGGGCCAGGCATTCATAACATGTTACATTGATATTATGTCAGCTGTCTGTTTCCAATGCTCAATTTAAAATTATGGTTTCAACCATTTAAATATCAAACCATTTGGGACCACAAAATCTGAAGAAACAGCTTTAGATAAATGATTCTGTTTAAATCTTAAGAACAACCACAGAACTTCAGCAGACAAATGAACTTAGAAATAAGACTATTTGAATGGGGCTGCCACTTCTTTGAATCTTTTTTCTTATTGCTTCATCTGTACTATCCTTTAAACACATTCTGAAGATGTTTTGTTCCAGTCTGCCTTTGTTTTTGTTTTTCTTCTCTAATTTCTATTGGTTTTAGAATCGATTGATACTGTAGTAATGTATTGTTTCATGCTGATTTAGTTTGTAAGTTGCCTTGGAAAGATTGTGCTCTAAGTGATGGGCTATAAATGCATAGATGAAGGCATGAAGGAATGTTGTGAAGCGCAGATCATGATGCACACCCTGTTAGATCTCACCTCGTGGCTGGGCATCCTGTTAATGAGATATGCAGGGGGTGTCCCCGTCAGACGCATAATCTGCTGAAGCTGGTTAATATCTTAGGTGCCTAGTCAAGGGCTTTGTTAATATTTCAACATCACTGTGAACACACAATCAAGACAAATGCATACAAAGCATCTGGTCTGCACAGAACAGGCTGTAACCACTCTCTGTGTCAAATCAAGCTTCAAAAGCAAACACTAGGAAGTAAAGCATCTTTCAGTTAGATACCACGATTAAAAACCTTTCTGTAAAACAAGATGCTAATTCATTAATCAGCCTTAAGGTGGATATTGGTTTCTTTTAGAGTTAAAATCAAATCCATTGAAGCACTGCAGTTAGCCAACTGATGAATATTATCTAGAGATATTATTTGATTCTCCTGTCTGACTTTATAAATCTTAGTTTTCACTCCTTTGCTGCCAAAGATAATGTATCAAGGTTGCAGCATCTGAAGTTTTTCTTATTGCAGCTGTGAATGCTAGGACAACAAAAGGTTAAGTCAGAAAGCATGTAGCACTGCACAACAATGTTAGTTATCAAGCAAGAAAGAACAATTCAATGACAAGTCAAGCAAGGATAATATATGCAGAAGGAGCTAGCAAACAAATTTGGTGCATATTAGTCAGTTTGGTTCTTTGTAACTTATGTCTTTATACAGCACCTAATTTAACTGCAGAGGGAAAAAAGAAAACAAGATTTTAACATGCATGTTATCTCCTTAGGTTATAATTGCATATGGGAGCAAACAAAATCTTTTGAAGGAAGGATTACTTATATCCTTCTGTAAATGTATGTGTCTGTCTCTATTAACACAGAACTCAAGGTGATCCATATCCTGATCTCTATAGTTATTTCTCCCATGGATCATGTGGGGAAAGATGGACAAATCAGATACCCATGATAAACACCTATCCTTTCCTTGGGCTCCAAATTGATCAGTGCATTAGAAAAGAAATTGCCAACCTCTTATGAAGTTAGCAAATTCTCAGAAGTCTTCAAGGTTATGAGATTCACTCACTGATTCATTCACTCAGTCTGGCACTGGGAAAACTTACAGCCCACGAATAATGCTTTGGCTTGAATATTATCATATTCTACACCACAGAAATATAGCAACAGCCACAGAGCAATGAAAGTAAAGGCTGATGAATATTCAATTCAGATCTTGCATCCTACACAAACAGGCCAGTGAAGAAAATTGCTGTCCAAACAATTTCATTGAGGGATAGAAATATCATGTGCCTCTATGACCCTAAGTCCAGGTAACCATGTGGGTAGGCCATTTTGAGCTCTTCCTTACTCCCCCCGCCCCCCTAAGGCATATCAGCATGTCTACTGGCAATCAGACATGCCACTCCAGAGAACAGGAGGCCACTTTTGGTTACTTTTAGATTTTATGATGGGCACTGCTACAGGGTGAGGACTTTATGGCTAAAACCACACATCAGGGCAGATATTTTTGGTTAAAATAGTATTTTTTCAGATAGTTTTAAAAAAAAAACAAAGGGTGAGAGATAAGGACAAGGCTTGCACAGTTCCCATGGGCATTCTATTCACAAGGACTCCGGCTGGGATATGTATAAATATAATAATTGATCTTTCCTATCTAACATCAAACACTTTGTTCTTAAATGCTGTCATTTCATGTCTCCACTTCCATTTTGATAATCACCATTACATTTTATCATGGTTATATTTCGCTAATTAGTGGGTATCCTGTCCAGATACCATCTAATGCATGTTTCACATGAAAATCATTCTAAACAACCACCTGGCTCATGGCAATGCAGAATCTTGGTTGGACACCATCTTATTATTTGAATGAAGATATTTAAGATGAAAGGCTGCCTTATCCTACAGTGTGCTGTCATCTTGCATTTTTTTTCATCACTCAGCTTTCAATTTTTAATGGAGATCTAGCTCAAGTTGGCGTCTAAAAGACTAAGTCTCGATCTATACATTTAAGAACTGATATCGCACAACAGCAGGCATATTAAATAGTCACAAAAAGACCATTGCTTGATAAAGTGAACCCCGATTTAAAGGGCTATTAAGAATATCTTAGTGTTTGAGATTCTCTTTATAATAGATATGCAACATAAGGAAAATCTGGTTTTGTAAGATCTTGCTCTTTAGGGTAGCAACATATTAAACCTGTTCTTTGTAAATGGCCAAGTATGCAAATGATCCTATAAAATAATAATGACAAAGATAATAATACTAATGATGATGGTGGGTTTTACTAAATTTCTTATTAAGTAGTTCTCTGGAAGCAAATATTCTGTGACCAACATGTTTTAATTTCCACTAATTCTATAGAACAGAGATGTATTTATTTCTCATTATTTTCTTCAACATTCCAGAAGGACTTTGATAGCATTTCTCTCTACACCTGCAAAAAGCATACTCTAGAAAAATCTCACTTTCTGACCAATTTCAAGCACTTTACTTTCATATAAACAATAAAGGCCCAACCATATGGTCATGTGTTCTCTAAATATGTCTTGTTTTGGCTCTAAAATTGCACAGAAGTATTTTCGCTGAACAGGCTATGGGGGAAGAAATAGGAGAGAAACTTTCCTATTCTCTCAGCCCAGTTCCAAAATTAAAAGTGAGCAAGTTGCAAGTGTTGAGCCACAAGGATGCAAATGAGTGATTGTTTCACTTCTGGTATACTATTTAGTGATGTAAATAGCACCTCCTCATGCACAGACCTTATAGCCAGGTCTGAAGGCACTTGTTTTGCAACATTAAATGAAGAGTAAATCCTACACATTCACTTCCCTTCTTGATTCAGAACATGCCTTAATTTTTATAGTATGCTTTATAAGGGTCAATCTTCTTTCCCTATATATGTATTTTAATTGTGTTTCTCATCAAGGTGCTTTACTATATCACTGCATCCAATGATTTATCATTTAATGACCTTGTGCAGAAACTGGATTTTACGCTCTGATAATAAAGTCAAAATTTTAGCACTAGAAACAGCAGGAATTCAGCCTGTTAAGAACATAGTTACTCAAGGGACTGCCTTCTTCCTTACAGACCCATCTGAAAAAGCCCATTTGGTGTTGCCCTAAATTCCCAGAATCTCTTCTGAAATAACCTAGAGGAAGGCATTAAGATTGTTGGAATAGGTCTTTCTTCCATACCTGATGATTTTTACCATTTTATAAAGTTTTAAATGTAATTTTAACAGTATTTTTGTTGGATCGTTACTGTACTTTAACTTTGTATTCTTGACACCAATATTTCTTTTTTTTAATTTTTGTATTTCTCTTGTTCTTAAAATTTATTGAGTTGTGTCATGGTATTGTTAGTTGCCTTGAGTCCCTATAGGGAGAAAGGCAGGATAGAAATAAAAATGATAAGATGATAATTTTCTATTTTTAGATGCATATTGAAAAAATATCTTTTATCCTTTCTTACTATTTAATAAACAAACACTGTCTTTTGATTTTGTAAACCGATTTAATGTATTTTCAAAGGTTTTCATGGCTGGAATCACTGAGTTGTTGTGAGTTTTCCGGGTTGTATGGCCATGTTCCAGAAGCATTCTTTCCTGACATTTCACCTGCATCTATGGCAAGCATCCTCAGAGGTTGTGAAGTCTGTTGGAAACTAGGAAAATGGGGTTTAAATATCTGTGGAATGTCCAGGGTGGGAGAAAGAACTCTTGTCTGTTTGAGTTAGGTGTGAATGTTTCAACTGCCCACTTTGATTAGCAGTTAATTGTCTAGCAGTTTCAAGGTCTGTCTTCTTACTACCTGGGGGAATCCTTTGTTGGGAGGTGATTAGCTGGTCCTGGTTGTTTCTTGTCTGGAATTTCCCTGTTTTTGAGTGTTGTTCTTTATTAACTGTTTTGATTTTAGAGGGTTTTTAAAAAAAATACTGGTAGCCAGATTTTGTTCATTTTCATGGTTTCTTCCTTTCTGTTGAAATAGACCACATGCTTGTGGATTTCAGTGGTTTCGCTGTCTAATCTGACATGGTGGTTGTTAAGAGTGGTCCAACATTTCTGTGTTCTCAAATAATATGCTGTGTCCAGGTTGGTTCATCAAGTGCTCTGCTATGCCTGACTTCTCTGGTTGAAGTAGTCAACAGTACCTTTCATGTTCTGATTTATAAACTGATTTAGATTGTATGTATCACATTTAGATTGTATGTACCACTTTTTAATCTTTACCTCTAATTAATTTATTTGTTGACTTTGCAGGTCATTTAATAGTCACACCAGTTTCAAAATAGAACATTGGTATACACTATTGGAGCATTCTCTGGATTGCCAGATGTGAAAGGACACACTATATAAACCACCCAAACTAGGCTGGAGATTGAACACAGAAAATAGTAGCACATATGCAATAGCATATAACAACAGCACACGGCAACTATGCTGAATGTTTAGCTCTACTTCGTATAGTCTACAGACGGAACAACAAATATGCAAGACGGGAGGGAGCTAGGTATATGGCAAAGAGAACAGGGGAAGAAAAGGGAAACTTCAAGATGTGCCCACGGAAACAAGCTGAAGAAAGTGAAAAACAAACTACCAGGCAAGAAACAAAGCCAAAAAAGGGGATGTGTGACACAGAATCCAAGAAGAGCAGGCATTACAATCAAATTTCAAACTCACAGACTCTGAAGAGATTTTCTTCAAAAGCTCAGGCCCTGGGGTTCCAACGAGTCTCAAAATAAGCTTCAACTGATCAATATCTAACGATGGACCATAAAGGAAAATGCTGGGACAAATAAAATTTTAAAATAAAATCATAACAGCAGCCCAATAAAACGAAAGGGGGAAAACGTCAACTAAAAATTATAAGCAAGATTAACACATATATACAGCATGTAACCACACATACCCACCTGCTGAAAATCCTCTACCCCAACGTGCTCAAAAATGAGGGATGCTGAGCCAGTATAGATATTATGCAGATGGCTGACTTTTGGAGATAGATATCCACATGAGCAGTGGAATGAAGAAATGCAAATACACCCAAGATTATCGTTCCTCCTTCCTTCATAAGCTGAATTTCTCTTGCTTATGGAAGGGAAAAGGCAATACCTAACTCTGGACAGAATTATTTCATCAAAGGAATGAGCTACTTCTTCAAAATATTAAGAACATGGCTCAGGTTGTTAACTTTTTTATATTCTCAGTAAGGAAAATATAGCCAATGTTTAAAAGGGTCAAAAATTAAAGTAAGCTCAGTTGGGGTTGTAAGGTCAGGAAGTCTAACCTCCCCCACTACTCTCATCTATATTAAATTTATTCTCTCCTCACATCCAAACCACGTTTTCATTGTGGCAAACGTATTTCTGCTATGTGAAAAAACACCATAGATTTTAATTTGCCTAAGTAAGACAGTGTGGTTTACAGCAGAATAAACATATTTCCAATCAGGAGCAAGTTCAAGATTCATAAACAGAAGCAGTATGAGAAAAGACTGGCATACAATGGTGCCAATGACAGTAATACTGCTTCTTAACAATTACATGTCAGAATAAAACTGTCCTGAAATAAATCTACATGGTCCAGTTTATTTTGGGTTACAATCTACAGATGTTGCCAGCAATTTTACTTTGAGAAAGCAAAGAAGTTTACAAATTTTTATTCTAAATCTTACTTTAAAAAATTAATTTTTTACAAATTGCATTAGACATCTTACGTCACCAAATATAGCTAGAATTCATATTTAGAGATCAACTACATGAATATTTTGCTTTGCCTAGAACTAAGACTAAAACATCTCTTTTCTGTCTGACATGAACTGAGAACCAAACCATATGTGCATGAATCAACAAGTATGCTTGTTGTTGCAACTTGTATTTCTCTTCCATGTTCATGTCTAAAGCATAGGTGTGGCAACACTGTTCACTGTAATCCACAAGCTTTACAACCCATTTTCTGGGATATGGCGTTGGAAGGTAGTAGTTACTGGAACTCTCCAGGTGAATGAGGACCTGACCTACAGAATGACCTCAATCTACCTGTAACACACATTGCCTTTTAAAAGTCATCCCTGCCTTTAACTTTACCAACTTTTTGTGACAATTGCAATAGATTTGACTGAATTTGTAACTACTTGATATATAAGAATACTCATTACTGTGAAGGTGCAAAATGTTTGTACTGTGGCAAACAACCAAAAAAAGCTGGTACGTGTTGCTTGATTAAGTAATGTCAATAATTTCAGTAGCAATTATAACACAAACCTTCTTGAACAAATTTCTAGCAGCATTATGTATCTGCATCCTATTTCTCCCCATACTTCTTCATACAGTTGTATCAGCTCTAGGATGGATGCTGGTTCAGCAATAATAACATTCAAATCTTGTCACAGATTATGAATTACAGTGAGGTCTGAACTATGACTTGCCTTTCTAAAACACTTAGATTGCGTTCAACTCTCAATACTTTTGGGTGTGTGTCTCATTAGAAGATGAACCATTGTCTCACTAGAAGATGAACCTCAACCCAAATCTCAGGTCTCCTGCAGATTGAAACAGGTTTGTCTCTAGAATGGCCCTGTATTTAACACCATCCATCTTGCCTTCAATCCTCAACAGTTTCTTAGTCCACACAACATGATACTGTCACCATGCTCCGCTGTGGGGATGGTGTTTCCAGGGCAGTTGGCCTTGTTCCACATATAGTATTTTGCAACAAGGCCAGAAAGTCTAATATGTGTTTATTTCAGCAATGGTTTTCTTTATACTACTTTCCCATACACCAGGGTTTTGAGTGACAGTGGTCCCATTGATGGATCACCCATCTCTACTATGGATCATTTCAGCTATTTCAGAATTTGCACTGTCCTCTAGGTTCTTTCTTGACTAACGTATGCCTTACCTAGTCACTAGGTTTTGCTAGTTAGCCTTCTTCAAGAAGAATTGTGGTTGAAACATATTATTTCCATTTTGTAACAACAGATTTAATAATGCTCCAGGCAATGTTCATAGTTGTGGATTAAAAAAAAAGAAATAACTAAAAACTATTTGCTGCACAACTTAATGTTAAAAGTGTATTGACTATTCTTTAGTTTTCATAATGCTATCTGTTTAGATATGCTTGACAGCAATCTTTTGGATCTTCCATAAACAGGTATATTTAATATGAGCCCCATGTAGCACTGGAAATGCACCCAGATGGGCTTCACCAAACTACTAATGTGATTTCTGGAGGTAGTGGGTTACATGAGGGTATATTTAGATGTCTTACAGTAAAGGAATGCACACTTCTGAAGTAAGTACTAGCTTGTTTTAGCTTAATTAAATATTAAACCAAAATGACAATATTTTGCACTTACACAGTTTTGAGACTCTTGAATATATCAAGTATTAACAATATCAATTCATTTTAATTCCAAACTCTGACAGAAAATGTGGGAAATTTTAAAGGTGTGGAATGCATACCCCTGCAAGGAATTATATAAAAAGGTCACTGCGTTAGTTCTACCACATTAACAGAATTATAACCAATATTTCATTTGTGAATGTACAGAAACTAATTAAAATATTATAAAACACATAACAAAGTAAAAAAGAAAATATATGGAAAGCAAAATGAAGAAATGGAAAGCATGCAGATCTTAGGAAGTGACTACCTTTAAGGATGGATAAACCTCAATATTGTCATAGGAGAAAAGAGCCAATTTGTCATAATCATTGGCATTGATTACTATTAAGCCAAGCAGCATATTCAGATAAAGTCAGAGGCAGATACAAAGGGAAAGAAAAAGACTACCAAGAAAAAAAAATCTAAACTGATTTCCTTTTGAGAGATCTTCCAAGATTAGAATTTCTTCATGGCATTAATTCCATAGAGCACCCTATCACACAACAGTCCCTTGTAGTGTTATGGCCAGAAGAACTGCCTATGCTAAGAATACAAATGAAATGGGTTAATCAAGGTACAGTGTTTGCTTGCCTGCCTGGTCACTCACTGAAAGAAATCAGTTTCAAAGTAAATGATCACATTACCATGGAGATGGTGGTAGGGTGATATAAACTGTGTCCAAGAATTACAATCTTGGAATTACCCAGCACTAACAAGTCAAACTTGCTTTGATATGTTCTAGTCTGTATCTGCTCAGTCAAGATGTATTTTGAAAGTTTTAAAACATAATCTAACTACAGAAGTGAACAATGTTGACAACTGACCAATTATATCTTCATTCCTCCTGTTTGTTGGGAGTTTGAGTCAGTAACTTCCATTAATGGATCACAAGAAAACACAGAGTATTTGTGGTACTGATCTCTGAATTTATACCATGTGCATGTCCTATATTACTCATTTCACTATCTGTGCTCCTTTATTACCCCAAAGAACTACAATTACTTCCCAATTCAGCCTAGTGCACAAAGAACCTAGAGTAGTTGCAGAAAACCCTTACTCAGAAACATACAAAAAGTTGATATAAGGAATTTAGGGAGAAAAAATATGTGAAATCTCTCAAAGAATAACAGTAAGAATGACAGTAAAATCCTACTCATGCTTGTCACATGCTTTTATTTCTTTTCGGGGAAACAGTTCTTAACATATTTCAGACAGAAAAGAAAAAGAGGTCTGCTAGATACTAGATAAAGGGAAGATAAAGTTATAACAGGAAGGAAGGAAGGAAGGAAGGAAGGAAGGAAGGAAGGAAGGAAGGAAGGAAGGAAGGAAAGAAGGCAAAAGCATAAGAAGATAAAATCACAAAAATGCAAAAATTTGGATCATATTTTATCATTTCTTGTTTGTACAATATTTATCAGCTGTTATGGGAAAATCTGAAAGAAAAGCCTGCAAACTGAAAATAAACAATTAATAAATAATTCTAGTCCTTGCATTTTTGAAAGCGAACATAAAAATATATTATTATAGCGAGGTAGGTTTAATGCATAAACAACCAAATGCTTTTAAGAGGTGAATTCAAGGATGACGTTCATCATAGCCTTTAAAATGTTCAGTGTGTGTGTGGAACAAACAAAACTGAACAATATGTGAAGCAAAACATTCCATCTGCAACCTTATTCATTTGCTAAAGATATAACTAAGCTGCATACAAGGCAGCAGCATAGAACAATCTATTTCCAGCATCCTTAGTGGATATTGGTATTTATTTTCTAAATTGACACTATGATGTATTTGTTTTAAATCAACTGTACACATATAGATAGGATTTGTGGAAACATAAAGATACATGGCAAAGCATCTGGATATCCCTTAGTATAGTAATGTCTACATTAACAAATTCTTAAAGGTTACAATAATCCTTCCAAAGAGTTTTAGACTTTGGCGGAATTTTGCAAGTTTACACTAAATGTCTTTCTCAATAATGCCAATAGACAAAACCATACAGAGACACTCTATTACTGCAATAATCAGAGAGTAATTTTATACATCTAAAAGCAGGTAGATGAGCATGTTTAGAGTAATAATACCTATGTAACTTGCACTCAGTTCATTCAGACCAATAAGTAACATTTAATGTTCATATTAGAACAGATCTACCTATAGATTATTTGTTGTTCCTTAAACATGTGTGTGCACTGGCTGATCATTACCATTACAACTATACTATCAATGCTAAGCTCTTAACCATGGCTATAAATTTCAATTATATATTAAAAGCATTTTTAAGAAAACTAACACTAGTTGTCACTACTGATTCACAAATTAGCTCTGCAATCATTTTAACAGCAATGGGTCTAACATCAGAATGAAGCTTTATTGGCACAACATATTGCAATGTGTGAAAATAGATGTTCCAATGTACTTTTCATTGCTCTTAAAGGATACGGTCTGTACCAGGGAACAGTGTCCTTCCAGTCAATAGTTCAGCCATAATGCATCCAACTGACCAAATATCAACTGAGGAAAAGCCACAATAAAGTAAGTATCCTAATGAGTATGCATTTGATTTTTGGCATCAAGTTAAAACATGTATTTGGGGGTCTAATGATCTTATACTACTTGTACATGCATACAGTTTGAAGCAGTACTGTAATATTTTAAATTGTAAATTATTACTTTAAATATTTTTGAATTGCTTTTAATGTATACTCCCTGATCTCCTTGCATACAGTACAAGAAATAAATATAATTAAAAATAAACATATGCAAATAGATAAACATTTTTTAGAGCATGAAAAAGCATACATTTGTTCCTTGATCTAAAACAGGATATTCAGATGCATAAATTTATTTCAAATACATATACTTCTTCAAGAACTGCATATTCATTACCAGGATATGATTAGATAATTCTATTGTTTCAAAAAATGTAATTTCAGTGTTGACTGATAATCTCTAAAGTTGTAGGATTTTATTTTCTGGAACACAGTACCTGTCTGATTGTAATGCATCCAGTTCAGCATGATCTCAGGAGCTCTGTACCACCTGGTTGCTACGTATCCTGTCATCTCATCATCTGTATGCCGTGCCAATCCAAAATCCAAAATCTGAAAAATGAAAAAATCACCTCTATTTTATTTTCATAGTTTATTTTAAAGAAAAAAACACTGGATTTCTCATCTGATTAAATTCCAGTTGGGGAAGATTTAAAACCATGTTAAATGCATTTGGTAAAAGTTTTTTGTGATACAAAGATAGAGTTTCTTTTATCTGAAAACCTCAAAATCTGAAACTTTTTGACGTCAACAACATGTTTTTGTTTTTCAAACAAGCACTGCAATAGTCCTGCTCATTCATCTGTCTCAGATTCTGTCCCTCCAGCTTCATGTCACATGAGGCACAAGGTTGTATAGGGACTGGAGATTGATCTGTGAAATGGCAAAGGCATGGATTTGCATGAAGTAAGATAAGCTGCCACTTTTTCCCCTTCTCCTTTCCCATCTTTTTTTTGGGGGGGGGGGGAGAGATATCTCGGTGGCTGACTCTCTCTCTTCACCTGCTTTGTTCTCCTTTGTTCTTGCACCCTTTTTTCTGGGGCAGAAGACTTCCTTTTCTATTTTCCTGTTTTTATTCCTTCCAGACAGGACTGGGGAGTGGGGAAATTTGCTGGGTTGAGGACTCTCTTTTAGTTCCTCTTTATCATTCTTGCTGTGGCCAGGCTGGGTCATGTCATTCTATTTCTTCTCTCCCCCCCCCCTTCTCCTCTCCCCTCTTTTTTTATTCTTTCTATGCTGCCTCCTTGGACCTGGCCGCTGTGATCCCACGTAGGTCCCTGTTTTATAGGCAACACAATTATCAAACAAACACGATGCAACACTTGAAAGAGCTGCAAGGATCTGTGAAATAGAGGAATACACACACACATATACACACACACTGACACACACACACACAATACAAATGCTAGTCTGAAGCATTTGGGATTAGAAATACACAATTCATACTTGTGATGCTTTAATTCTACTGTGACTAATTACATGCAATACCAGTCACGTCATAGTTCTGGAGCATTATTTTATTGGCTTAAGAACAAATAAATTGAAACAGTTATTGAATACCTCTTGTATCAACAATACATTAAGACCTATGTTTTCATTACTACCATTTAACCAATTTGTCTTCATTTTCCAACAGCATATTGAAGCTTCTGATCAAGTAGGACAGATACTACCTCTGGGTTATCCAAAAAGCATGCATATACACTGATTACAATTACCTTCAGCTCACAGTCCTCATTTACAGCTAGGTTGCTAGGTTTTAAATCCTAAAAGAAAAAGGGATATTTATATCAGTATTACAAAGCTAATAATGCCATCTCAACTCTGAAATACAGTACGATAACATTTTATATATTCTGCAGCTTTTAAACCAACTCCCAGCTAAAATCAACATCATATTCTTACTGTGGTTACCAGCAGTCTGTTACCCCACAAATGGGTCCTGCAGGCCTCAAATGTTTTAAGCAGAGGGCCAGTTCATGGTCCCTCAGACTGTTAGGGGGCCGGATTATAGTTTGAAAAAAACGAGCAAATTCCTATACAATATTTAAATTGAAGAGCAATTTTAACCAACCAACCAGTATTTCAATGGGAAGCATGGCCTGCTTTTGGCTGAGATAGTCAAGTTAATTAGAATTGCTGTTGTTGTTGTTGTTGTTGCATGCCTTTAAGTAGTTTCAGACTTAGGGCAACCCTAAGTCTAAGGTTTATGACCTTGGAGGCTTGCATTTGGCCTGTGGGCCTTAGTTTGGGGACCCCTACCTTACAAGATGTTAGGATTTTCTTGAAACCAGTGAAATAAATCTGGCTAGAACTCACATTATTGCCAAGAAAACCAGATCTAAAAAGATCCATGTCAATTTCTTCTCTTTCAGCAATAATGAATTGAATTCTTTACTGTGCTTTTTACTCAACAATTTTAGCTGCACACATATTGCTTTCATTACATAATTTAAGTTATACTAACACAAATACTCACTCTGTGTATTATGTCAGCAGAATGAATATACTGCAAGAAAAAAGATGAATATTATGTTTATGCCATAATACCTTATTATCTAAGATAGAATCATTTTGTACCGATGCTTGATGTTGCTCTTTTACAGTTAAAAAAAAAATCAGCTTCAATCAGGAAGAACAGTAGACTGATGTCTATATGAAATAGAAGTGTGATTTCAATATTACCATTCCTTTTAATTTAGTCCATTACCATGTCCTTGAAAAGTACAGGTTTTTGTGGTTAACCAATGAAAAACCGCACAAATCCCACTCCAAATTACTGAAAAGGTATAATTTTAAAAATAAAGTTGCTTCTTTAAAGGGCTATGCTGATTGTTCATCTGCAAATCTCTAGGATTCTAAGTCTCTTGTATTGTCAGAAACTTTTGCCCCCACCCTCAACTTTTCTTCCTAGAGCAACCTCACTAACAGACACCCACTTGTGGACAAGATGGTGCCATTGAGAAGAAATTCAGCAAAGCCGAGGGCAATCACAATGCTTCCTTGATTATTCATATGTATGATTCTAACCTATCAAGAACATGTTTCTTAACTAAGATGGCAAAGGAAGACAGGTTTGAAAATTATATTAAAAAGTAATGAGAGAGCACACAACAGTTTGCACAGCAGATAAAAGCACCTTTACTAGTTCTTTGTGGCTCTCAGATCTCTTGCCCATTTTCCTACGAAACAGGATGTAGAAATGCAGAAACAGGCAACTCCTGTTTCTCTCCCAAAATTTTAAGGCAGCTATTCTCAGATCAAGTTATCTGTAATGAAAAGTAGTCTAACCAAAGCAAGAGAGCAATTGCTTTGTGCTTCCACCTGATTTTGTCCATTTTGCAATTCCCAAATAAAAAGCATGAACCAGATCACATGTAGATGTCAGTTTTCTATCTATTCAGAGGTTAGTGATCCAGTTCCCAAAAGAAAGCACACAAAAATGCATTCATTTGAAAGAGTGCATACAAAAATAATGTAAATCTGCTCACAAAGCACTTTATTCAATAAAAAATAATGTACAGAAACATATACAATTTTTGAAAAATTTCCACAGACATACTTTTTTTGTGCAAACCGAAATAGGGAGACAAAGAAACAGCAACAGAAAATTGAGAACCTGAACAGACTCCAAGTTCCACAGATCCACCCATCCTATCATCTGAATACAACTAATCAATATGGATCACATTGAATGGAAACAATTTGGAGAGGTTCTAATTTTAAACCAAAGATTTAATACAGCAATAAACCTAATGTCAATACCTTCAAACCACGAAGAATTTGATAGATAAGAAACTGTACGTGGTCATCTGTAAGCTTCTGACATTTCACAATATTGTTCAGATCTGCCCCCATGAGATGGGTTACAAGATATCTAGAAAACAAAATGTAAACAAAAGTTGAAGAAGGCAATGTATTCCAGGGCCCAATTTTTAAATTAGAATCACTTTAAATAATCAGAAAAACTAATATATGAACACCTTTAAATGATCAGTACTAATTATTATCAGTGTCATAAATATCTACATTCGTGTCATATACAGTATATCTACATAGCAGTAGGTAGTGAACTCCATTACGTATATTCCATGAAAATAAATCTCTGATAAGTGCCTATGGGAAGCTGTTCCGCCTCAGAACCATGCAGGAACGGTTTGAAGTTTTGCCAGAAGACAGAAAATCCCTTAAACACATCATACAATCAAGAACTATAAAATGAAATAAGTATAAATTAATTACCAATTTGTTCTCCTCCATTGCTGATTCCACTCCCAAAATCCAACTGTTATTTTCATTTTGGAATCAAGAGTTTGGATTTGACAATTGCATTTGTGACTGAATGCAGGATATTCCTATTCTAGAACATCAGGTTTTGCAGTCTGAGGTACTTCCTCCCTCCCTCTCTCCCTCTTGGTCAACCCTCTTCTTCAGCCTCCTCCAAGCAATGACCCAGAGCCCATGCACAAAACCTTTCCTTGTTCCAAAACACTTAGATTTGCAGATCTAATATACTTTATGTGGAATATTTCTTTCAAAATTGCATGGAACAGTTATGGGCTGAGTATGTTTAGCATGGAGAAGAAGACTGAGAGGGGACACGATAGCCATATTTAAATATTTGAAAGAATGTCACATGGGGGGTGGGAATAATTTCTTGATAAGAACTGTTCGGCACTGGAATATGTCTCCTTCTCTGGAGGTTTTTAATCAGAAGTTGGATGGTCATCTATCAGGGTTGCTTTGATTATTTATTTCTGAATGGCAGGGGATCGTCCCTTATGGTTGCTTCCAACTCTATGATTCTATTATTCTAATTCGTATGAAGTTGAATATATCTGGTTTAGTAAAATTATAATCTATGCAACTTTACACATATATAGTATGTGCTAAAATGTTACTACTGTATAAATTCTGCAAAAAGAAAACAATAATTTAATAGTAAATAAGTCTGATTTAATAAATTAAATTTAAACTAGTGGATCAAAAAAACTGAGCAGAATACTGGGGGAAATTGACATTGACCGATGTTTTTGTGAATCTAATTTATAAGCCAAGGGTGATCCCCTGCTTTTATGACACTCAAAATCTATTCCTTGGAGAGGACATAAAAGTGTATGCAATGCACCAAGGCCCAATTCACAGAGGTCATCCCTATCCCCCCCGCCCCCCGGCCACCTCCTTCCCCATATGGTAGGAAGACTGTGATTAGACCCAGCTCCATAGGCATTCACATACACACCCTGCTCCATTGCATTCCATTCATACTCTAAAGGCATGTGCCAAGCAATTTCTAGGGAAAGCACAGGAGTTTTCTAAATCTTTTAGATATGAAGCCCTGAGAGATCAAGATTTTTTAAAGCTAGTGGTTTCACTGCATTTACACCCTTTCTTCAACAATGGTGAAATAAGGCTGATCTCAGTATTTCCATTTCTCCACAAAAGAAACTGGGAAAGGTGTGTACAAAGTGTAGGAAGTGTGTAGAACTGTTCTAGTAACGAAGTGCTTTTTAAAATAGAAAGCCTGTTCCAGCATGTGCTTTGAAACTGCTGCATACAAGCCCAACAGGTTTAAAACACGATTATTTAGTAGATTACCAAACGGTAAATGTCATCGTCACAGCCTTCAGTGAGTCTGCCTTGATGCAAAGTAGTGACTGAAGCTACAAGGTTTCACTCTTTCCAAGTTGCCAAAAAAGCTGATGCACAAAGGACAAATCTAGCACTATTTCCCTCCTTAAAATTAGGAATTCACTCAAATCCAGAAAGGTTCCTCTAGCAAATTAAAACACTATGCTCAGTCAGTATGCTGCCTCCCCTATTTCCAATATATTAAAAAACCCTAGTGTTTTACTTAGCTACTTATATACAAAAGTCTCTTAAAACAACAATATTCACCTGCATTTAAAACATATTCAAACTCTAAATCTATGTGAATAACTCAGGCCATATAATAATTAAAAATGTTTCTATAAAAACTGAATTATAGAACCATTCAGTTCTAATGGTAGAAGCTATCTGAACTGGACAAAATATTGCTTCACAGCTCTTGAGTTGTAAAGGTACTGCTATGCAGCATATTTGATTTAGTCTAGTAGGAAACTTTAAAAAGAAATAATAGTAAGCCAATTTTGAACAATGCAAGATTTAGTTTACATTGTTACTATATGAAGCTGTTTTACGAGCTGTGAGTCTCAGGATATGTGGTGCATGACATGACACAAAGTTCAGATGAGTGAAAAGTGGAAGAAATTTATTGTGACCACTAGCTTTAATAAAGTGCAGTAAATTCTTGACATATAGAATGTGAGAATTATACTTACAGTGTACTGATATAGTTGCATGGGGCAGATTTGTCATAGAAAGCTGGCTCAAAACACTACAAATGTAGCTGTCAATTGTTTCTTTAATGCACATACAGAAATAGCAAATATTCATATTATATTTATATTTGATAGTGTAAATGACCTACCCTCGATCGTATGTACCACAAAAACAGACTGAAGAAGTTCTTTGCAAGCTTTCCATGTAAACAATGAAGAGATGTAAAAGCCTATATACCTCAATAACTGCAGTTTCTGAAAAGGTAACAGTACATTTACCCTATATATTCATATACCCTATACACTCATATACAAGGCTTTGTCAAAAAGTCAATCCTGGGTTGACTTATCCACAGGTCAATGTGATTACAGTATTATAACTCTTATCAAAAAAATAAATCATCCCCTTCTCTGAGTAGAGTGGTGAAAGATAACCTTTTAGTTCATCATGAGAGAACCTAAAAGCAGCAATGAACCCTTCTACTCTCTCCATCATAGTGTCACTTCCGACAGTTTTTAATACCCAGATGGGGAAATGGCAGCAGCATCCAGGTGCAGCTGGCCGCTCTTTCTTCTCTCCACAAAATGACCCTTGACTTATTCACAGGTCATATTAAAATTCGTAACTTTGGTCCCAAAACCTGCCCTCAACATATACATGAATTTGACTTATACATGCATATATACAATAATTTTTCTTCAATATATCAAACCCCATGACAGAATAAAACCTCTCTAAATTGAATACGTAGATCTATCACAATTGACAAAGGCTTTACAGTGAGATTGCAAACGTATTCCAACAACAAATTTTAAAATATTTGCAATGCAGTTTCAAAGTTCTACGTACACATCATTGAATTCCTCTAGCGATTTTGCAGGTGTAAAAACATCTAGAAGACCAATAACCTGTAAAGGGGAAAAAAACATCTATGAAGAATTGCAAACATTAATCTGGCCTTTTCCAACGCAAGGGTGTACACTATTAATACAGAAGTGCCTGTTGTGTTACCACATTAATAGAACTCCTCTGTATACAAAGAAGCAAACTGACAGCAATTTCTTTAAATTAGATCAGTGTCAGATATCTTGAAATGTGATCAGTGTGAGCTATATGCAAGAAAATTCAAAGAGATGTGTTGTAAGCAGTCTCTTCATGTTTCATCTCTGGTTCATTGTTTTCAGTAGAAGCTGTTTCTCTTAATTCAAAGAATTAACACTATTGAAAAAAACAAGTGGTGCAATTATTTCAATAAACCTTTATTATGCTGAAGTCAGTAGCAGCCACTAGTGGGAACCCACTGTAAGGCAATTAAGGTGGGAAGGAAGCAGAAAATGCCATCAGATAAATTCTTTTTTTTCTCGTTTTCCCATAAATCGTAAGAACAATTTTTCATGTCTCTAGTTCTTTACATTGCTTTATTCTTACCAAGGTTATTTTGCTTTAATCAAATCTGTCATTACTTTGTTATATTTTATGTTGTGATGTGTACTTCACACAAGAAAAATGGTTATGACAGTTTAAAAATCTAAGAAATGCATACTCATACCATTATCTGTGGTAAACCAGCACTGGGAGAAAACGCTGAACTCGGTCTGGAACTCTTTGCTTACATAGCACTGAGGCATGCCACAGACTCTATTGTTGTCACCCAACAAATCTTATTAAGGGTGTGCTTTCCCCTCTTGCCCACTGCCCTTCTGAGGTAGTAATAGCTACCAAAGTTCTATTTCATTGTTTTCCATTAGTGCTGAAGTATCTATATAAATAAAAATGTAATGTTCGTTTGTGGGATTACTCAAAAACCACTGGACGAATTGACAATACAACTATCAGGCCAACGAGTGACCATCACTCATAAAGCATTGAAAAACACAGCAGAAGAGACTTAAAAAGCCAAAAAACAAAAAATACATTACAACGCATGCACAAAACCACCTATATACACAAAAATACATATATACACATATACACAAATATATACACACATACTCATATATATATATATACACACACACACACACACACACACACACAAAACACATATACACAGACTGGCCCACAGCAATGCGTGGCAGGAAACGGCTAGTAGAAAATATATCTTTTTAGAAAATAAATGAATTTCTATTTACAAAGTTTTGTGATGTAGTTTCTTGGTCACACAAAGCATTGTTTCATGCTTACTTTGAGTCAACTCCCATCCCTACATGGGAGTTACACCACCACAAAGGACCAGGTATTACAGTTGATAAGCATGACATACCAATAGGTATGCTATTAGATCTGTGTTTGTCACAGAGGTGCAAACTGGCAGGGGTATGCACACACGTGTGTACATGCTTTCAAGTCGACTGCCAACTTATGGCAAAGGATACTCAGTGGTGGTTTTGTCAGTACAGACAACCCCCAAATTACAGACATCCGAATAATAAACAGCTCATCGTTAAGACAACAGGAAGTGAGAAAAATCTACCCCTAGGAAGGAAAATCCACTTCTGAAAGAGTTATCATGGGGGAAAGGTGTCTCCACTGAAGCTTTATCACTAATCCTTGTTTCTACTGATTTTTTCAAAATCCAATGATCATAGGGACAGAAATTGGGGTAAAATCTTCTGAACAGGGGCACAGACAGCAAAACAAACACCTTTCCCCATGATTGCATATATGAGGAAAATGAGTGAAGCATTATGGTGACTCAAAAGGAGAAGAAGCTGGTGTTTAGCAACTGAGAGAAACTTCTGTGAAGTATGTAGGGAAAGGGATGAAAGTCAATGCTTTATTATTATTATTTATTTATTTATCGTGTCATCAGCAACCATTGTATTACAATTCTAACAGAGCAAAACAAACACAGAGATTAAAAAAAAGAAAAAGGAAAAAAAACCCACACATATTTTGCAAATTTGGTATTTGGTTAAATGTCCTTTGACCAGTATCTGTCCACTTGGAGTGCCTCTGGGGTTGCCGCAAGAAGGTCCTCCATTGTGCATGTGGCAGGGCTCAGGGTGCATTGCAGCAGGTGGTCAGTGGTTTGTTCTTCTCCGCACTCGCATGCCGAGGATTCCACCCTGTAGCCCCATTTCTTAAGATTGGCTCTGCATCTCGTGGTGCCAGAGCGCAGTCTGTTCAGCGCCTTCCAAGTCGCCCAGTCTTCTGTGTGCCCAGGGGGGAGTCTCTCATCTGGTATCACCCACGGATTGAGGTGCTGGGTTTGGGCCTGCCACTTTTGGACTCTCTCTTGCTGGGGTGTTCCAGCGAGTGTCTCTGTAGATCTTAGAAAACTATTCTTGATTTAAGTCGTTGACGTGCTGGCTGATACCCAACCAGGGGATGAGCTGGAGATCACAACCAGACACAGTGAAGACATCTGCCCTTGCGCTATGCTACTCTGCTGCTGAGTATGCATGCCCAGTGTGGAACACATCTCACCACACTAAAACAGTAGATGTGGCTCTTAATGAGACATGCCGCATTATCACGGTGTCTGCGCCCTACACCACTGGAGAAATTACACTGCTTAGCCGGTATTGCACCACCTGACATCCGCCGGGAAGTAGCAGCCAATAGTGAAAGGACCAAGGCAGAGACACTCCAGCTCATCCCCTGTTTGGGTATCAGCCAGCACGTCAACGACTTAAATCAAGACATTATTATTATTATTATTATTATTATTATTATTATTATTATTTTCGGAAACAGGTGGTGAAGGGGAAGTTACAGTAAGAACTAATGGGTTTGGTACAATATTTGTGCCCACTGACACCAGTTTCCCTTCCTGGAAACGCTTCAGGGATTGGCAGCTGATGACTTCTGAATTCCTATCAGTCAATCCAGTTTGAATAGCACTGATCTATATGGAGAAGGTATGCTAAGAATTTTAAGTACATTTTGTAACAAAAGACCTATACTGCAATTATATACTTCTGAAAACAAAGGAATTTTTATTCTTATAAAGTACATTTAAAAATAAATAAATAAATATTGATTTGTTTCCCATGGCAAGCATTCTGTATTGACTAGAAGTATAGTCAGATACCATACTAAAGACAGATGAAATAAGGATCCAGGGGTCCTTCAGCAAGCTTTACAGGGAGAAAGTGCTATGAGGAACTGAGTCTTGTCTGTGATATCAGTCAAATACCAAAGAGAAAATAAAACATTGCTTAGAGATCATAAAAAGGAATCCATGGCTAGAATTGTTACTCTGGTTGGTATAAAGTGGAAATGCAACTCCCACCACTTCATTTCTCATAATAGAAGACTGTTGGTGAACGTGCCTTGGGAAAGCATAAATCTTAGGCTTATTGCAAATAGGAATTGTCATGATAAATTGTGGTAGTGGTAGGAATGAATTAAAATCAGTTAGATTATCAATTAAGGAGAATTTTTCTGATAAAAGAGAGCCTAAATTTATTTTAAAAATGTGACTGACTTAAGTTGGAATTTCAGCATTCATTTAATTGCAGAACTAATTTATTGATTTAATTATTAAAGAAGAGATTCTGCTAAGAAGTCATCAAATTTTACTTTTTTAACCTAGTTCTTTATTGTAAATTAAGTTCTCTTGTACTTCTTGCCTTTGCTAATTCAGCAGAGGGGACTAAGGAGTAAGCCAAATATACTCAAGTGCAATTCCAGCAAGATAAATTGTGTTAAGAGTGTTTGAATAGATTCAGTAACTCATCCTTTCCCATATCTGAACATAATGAATGATCCATATTACTGAAACCAGACACTTCTTTATATATACAAAACCAGGTCTTCGGAAAGTTGCAGAAAATTTTGAAATCCATGTGAAATAACAACTAAAAACAAAGGAGGAGTGGAATAAAATCATGGGTGGTTTAAAGTTGAATGTCATTGTCAATATAAATGTAACTATTTTCTTCACTTCTAGTGGAAATCAATTGAAACGTGAAGACATTAACAATTTTCTATAACTTGTCTATTTCTGAATTATTTACTGTGACAGTGATCATTAATACACACATTGTAATAAACTACACATACAGAAATTGTTACTGAATTCTTAGTGGGAGGGAAGACAAGGTTCTACAATGCATAACATGCAACCTTGTGCCATGGCCCCTCATCTACCATCTATCCCACTAGCAGATTTTCTTCCTCTACTCTTACCTTGTCTTTGCTTTCTCCCAACACAAACCATACAATTATGATCTCAATCCAAGATCCAACTGTGCTAAAAAAAACATAACTAAGAAACTCTAATGAGAGCAAAGAACATTGCTGACAAAGTAATTGCTTTGTAAAACCATTGAAAGGCTAGCTTCCTGGAAGAATCTTAATGTTTTTCAACATTTATAAGATTAGATATCATATGTTAAATACAGTAGCACAATGAAAATAATGATGAGTAAGTACAATTAGAGAATTCTACCAAAATTATAATAATCAAATTTTTTATCAGGAAATCTCATCTTCTCTGAAACTAGAAGGAGAAATTGATGTATTTTGAAGCACCTGCCTCAATATACAGTATATTTTAAAATGTCTAATGCATTACTCCTCCAAAGACAAGAAAGAGTTAAGTAATATAAATAAAAATATTAAGTTACAACTCAGCTAATTAGAATAGTTTAACATAAGCCTGCTCATGACATTAAAAAGGAGTGCACAATCCAATTATTCACCACAGCAAAAACATGCTGGAAACAATTTTGATCTGGCATAAAATGCATCTAAAGGTTGAATTCCACAATCTATATTTTAGGACCAAAAAGGCTTTCTCCTATATACTTGTCAGTCACATCTTTGACTGAGGAAGAACACAAGCAGGTGAAGAAACAAATGATCTGGAAGGAATTTGCCAAAACCTTGCTGCAATTCAAGTTTTGGCATTTTGCCAAAACTTTACTGTAATTCAATGGATGTTTCTTTACACCACCACTACCACAACCAGGCTTTAAGAATTCAGTGCTGATATAACTATCTGCAAAAAAGAAAAAAAATCCTTACAAGTAGGTAGTATACTATCTAGAAACTAGATACAAGGCAAAGGCTGCTATAGCAGTTCAGCACAGCTTTAATTCCATTGATTTGAGAGACTTTAAAGGAAGGGCCCTTGCACACAGCCCTATATCCCAGAATATTGAAGTAGAAAATCCTACATTATCTGGGTGTAGACTCAATAACCCATTTCAAAGCAGATGTGGGATTATCTGTCCTGATATTCTGTGATAAAGGGCTATGTGGAAGGGCCCGAAGATTATCAGATGCTTTTCACAAAATGGTAAACCTGCTCTCTCCACACCTTTTTGTTAGCATGCTTAAAGACATATTTTAGTTTTTTTTTTAAAAAAAAGAATGTTTGTGCCAACATTTTATTTTAAAACTTTGAAAGAGTTATACAGTCACATTCATTTGAAAATTGCAGAACTGGTGAAGTTAGGACTATGGAAAACAAGTGAATAAATTAAATATTCTAATCAATGCATATACCATTTTTATACAGGTTTTTTTTTTTTACGAAGGCAACCAAACAGAGCAGTTAGGAATAAAAGAGCAAAAGAGGAAGAACTGTTTTTGTAATACTATTATTGTGATATTACTGAAACAATCTAATGCTATGCAATATTTTGCAATTGTTCCTGGGGCTGAAGATTCTACTATTCACTCATTACTTCCAAAAGGTCTGAATCCATCTCGTCAATTCCTTGAGAAAATCCTAAAATCTGAAGATCTACAAGATTTCTCTAAAACCAATATCTGTAATTGTAAAAATACTAGAAGATATGTAACTTTCATTGCACAGGAGACAAGAAACAAAACCTAAATAGAAGGCAGAAATTCCTGAAAGAAATTATTGTTGACTATTAAGAATGTAAATTTTCACCAGCCTTTAATATGAATGAAGAACTGACATTTAGAATAACACTATGTAACAAATTTTGAAAAATTTTCTGTTCCTGGTTTGAAAATGTTGTTTCCTGTTTAATTATGTGGTACTTACTTTGAAAGTAGTTGTTATAGTCTAGAAACCTCGTTTGTGCGACTGCCACAAGCTATGTTGAAGAACTGGTTGAGACTCTAAGAGATATTCATTATAAAACTTTAGCAACATGTGCTGCAAGTTTTTACTGTTTAATAATTTTTTCTATGTTTCTATGACTCAATTAGGAAATGACATTTATAACCCAGGAACAAAAATCGTATTACCTAGCAGAATTCATTACTTCCCCTGATTCTTTGTATCTTTCGGTACTAAAATTTAGTACAATCACCACCTATCCTTTAGCATAGTTTGGGATTCTATCCCCTGTAAACCTGAGTTAACAAAATGTAAACAAACTTACATTTTCATGCTTCATATGCTTAAGCAAACGTAGTTCACGATAAGTCCTTTTGGCATGTATGATGGACTGAAATGGTCTGGACAATTTCTTCACAGCCACACGCAAGCCAGTTTTCGTATCAAAGGCGGAGCTGCAAAAGAATAGTATAAACCATTCAGTATTTAGAATGCATATCAGAACTGAAATGTGATTTCTCTGTGAAAATTATTAACAGGTATCTTTGTCATTCAAAGAATATAATTTTGAATCTCTGTTTAGGGAAAAATAAGCTACTGAATGAAGGAGCTAACCCAATGTTCAGAAACTAGATTTAAATAAATCATTAGAAAAGTGTTAAGTATATACTGATAAATTTTATGAGCATAACTGGATTTACATATGAAGTATGGCATATTTTGCAATAATGTAGTGACTCACAACAAGAGATAGACCAATAACTTTCTGCAACTTCCTTGAACATTTCAGCCCCAACATTCATGTATTGCAACATTTCAGCAGCAAGAACATTTACATCCTGATCTGAGCATGTGGAAACACATAAGGCATACCTCTCACCAAGCCATTTGTAGAAATATATATCCTAGAAGCTGTTGGGCTGGGTTATTTACTAAGAGGTGTTTTAATAGCTCTTGCATTGTAACTCTTCAATAACTTGGAAGGCATATGGTAGAGCGGTTATTATGAAAAGTATGAATGTACATGTTCCATAATTGACTATGGCTTCTAATCTGATTGGCTTTGTCATAGAAAACTGTAGACTCCTCATCCCAATAATATTAGCACTAATGAGCATTATGGTGACTCTCGTGGAAATCCATCCAACAATGTCAATAATTAAATACGCACACATTTTTTCTAGAATGGTATTATTTTTGTATGTAAAAAGAATGAAATCATATCTTTGCCAAAAGAAAAGAAAAGAAAAAGGATGACTGCATTGGTTCCACTGTTGATAAAATAAATTATCAGAAGCTGCTTCCAATTTAAACCAATCCACTGACATATGTGATGTAAGAGGAAGAACTGTAACTAGAAATAATTTAAAGCAGATTGGTTCAACTCATGGACCGCATTCATAATCTAGGATGGTTATGAATGCGGCCCAACACAAAATTGTAAATTTACTGAAAACATTTTTTTGTGATTATTTTTGTAACTTGATCATGTGGTTCTTGAGCACAAACTTTATAGACAACAGTTGAACGGAATGGAAGAATCGATGTATGTTACAACCACAAATATAAGAGTATTAGTCACAATTTGCATTATAACTGCAAATTGTTTAGACAGAATAAACAAAAAATTGTTAAGAATAATGAAATAAAGAGCAAGACAACTCTGTTGCAATGTTGCAGAAAATAAATTGTGAAAAATAATTCTAATGTGCATTGTGTACTAAGCATAGCGCAGTCACACAGCAAACTCCCTATTTATAAACATCAGTTTTATTGAGGTGTGCAGCCCAAGAAAATTCTTATTCCAGTGTGGCCCAGGGAAATCAAAAAATGGGACAACCTTGAATAAAAGCATAAAGCCTCTCTACAAGTGTCTCCTATCAAATTTCTAAAATTAGTTCCACTGATAAAAAGGCCACTGAACACTATAATTTTTCATTACTCAAATAATAATAATTAAGCCCCTCTCAACTCCACTGGAACCTGCTATCACTCCAGAAGAAATCCAAAATTGTTGGATTCCAGCCTAACAATTTTATTAGGCTTGCATGAATACAATTCGCAAAAAACACACCTGTCATCCTTATACACTTTAAAACAAGTGCTGCACAATGTTTCAGAATGGAACCCAAATTTTTGGGAGATTTACTAAATTACAAAGAGGAATATTACCTCACACTTGAAAACAAATACATTTTTTATACCCCTAGGTCAGTGGTTCTCAATCCTAACAGCTGGTAAACTGGCTGGGATTTCAGGGAGTTGTAGTCCAAAACACTTGGGGACCCACAGGTTGAGAACAACTGCCCTAGGCCCTAAAAATTCAAAATAATCTAAATTAAGTTTGAATGGAAAGTAAATACAAGTCATTGTAGCGAGCTATACCACATAGAGGAACAAGTTGGGTTTCTTTTTACTTTGTTGCTGAAATGAATTCCAGAACTGTTTAATCAGATTGGGTAGCATTTAGTTCCCTTTTATCCAAAAGTAAGTATCTAATCATTCTATGTTTTAATATAGAACTGAGAAGATGCATTTTCTCTCTATCTATCCAAGAAACCCTGCAATGTTCAGGCTAGATATTACTCTGTCCTCCACAAAATATACTTTATATAGTGATTTCAACCCTCTTCCAGAACCAAACAAGGAAAGTGGGATGTGTGAAGTTTATTTTTCCAGAACAACAGACAAACTGTTTCTGCAAGGTACAAGTACAAGGATAATTCAATATTACATGAATGGATTTCCACTTTTACAAACTGAACTTCCTTTTTATCAACTCTGTTTAACTAAATTACAGTTACACTTCCAAGATATCCATAAAAGTTATTCAATGAGCAAGTAACAAAAGAAATCAACACATTAGTTAAATGTGGAATCCAAACATATAGGATTTCTATTTAACTGTCAAGCTAATATTATTTTGCGAGAAAAACTTAATATGCAATAGGGAAACCCGATTTAAATGAATTTTGCCTCTTAAGAGATTTAAATGCATTAAGACAGAGATTTGAATAAAAAGGTGCTTTAAATAGTTCAGATCACAAAGTTGGATATCTGAAAGAACTGAGATACATAATGACGTGATGCTGTGTATACAGTGGGACTTTTGTTCAGGGCTGCAGTCAGCTTGAAATTGGAATCTTAAAGAACAGTTTAAATAGGACTGTTGAGTTTAAGAAAAGGAAACTATTTTTTTCCCTCTTTGCTCCTACCTGAGGCCCTCCTCTGCTATATTGTGTAATCCCGGAGTAAGGTCCCAGTGCCACTTTTATACATCAGCATTTTATAACTGAAGTGTTTCTGGAAATTGGAAAAGGGATGCTTCTTTTCCCCAAGAGCATCTCTGTACAGTGCATACATGTGTGCAGTATTTTATTTTGGTTACAGAGCACAGGGTATCATCTTTTTAATTCAAGACGAAGATAATCATACAGCAAACCTATTATGAGAATGAATATATGGAATAGCAAAGGAAAAATAAGAGAAAATCCCTGTCCAAATTGTGAAAGCAGGGCATGAAATGGCTTGTTAATATTTTGCAGTTGCATAACTAGAATTAGAGGACCTAAAGATGGTGTTGCACATGCTCAATGTTGGACTTCTATAATGTGTTTTACATTGAGCTACCTCTGTACCAAGTTCAGACACTCCAATTAGTTCAATACATGGCAACCAGAATAACTACAGGAACATCTAGGAATGAGCATATCACACCCATACTAGTCACTCTACTGGTTGCCAATTAGTTTCTGGGCAAAGTACAAAGTGTTGGTTTTGACCTTTAAAGTCCTACATAGTTTGTGTCCAGGTTGCCTACAGGATTGCCTTCTCCCATGCAATATACTTTGGACACTGAGGTCCTCTGGGGAATGGCTACTCCAGTCAGCCAGAACCCAATTGGCAAAAAATCACCCAGAGGATCTTTTCATCAGCTGCTCCAAGACTGTGGAATGACCTGCTGGAAGAGATTCTAACAGTTAATTCAGATGTCAGAATTCAAAACTCTACTGAAGACCTATTTCTTCCAGCTGTCCTACCTAGTTAATTTTAACTGCATTTTATCAGTGAATTCTAGCCTGCATTTTAACTGTTATTTGTATTTTAATAGTCTTGTGCTTTTATCTCTCTGTTTTGACCCTGTTGAACCCTGCCTCGAGCTGGGAGGAGAGGTGGGTAATAATAATAATAATTATTATTATTATTATTATTATTACAGAGTAATTGTACATGCCTACTTGAGAATCAGGCTACAATCGTATGTGGATTTACCCAGGTGTAAACCCCATTTAACTCAATGGAGATTATATCTAAATAGATATATAGAAGATCACACTGTCAAGAATCTTCTCCCAAAACTCAAATCGTTAGTAGGCTCTCTGACTGCTAAATCAAGAAATATCATCACCTTATTCTATGGAAATCTATAACATAATTTAATAGGCAATAAGTGAAATGCTGCTGTCTACAAAAAAGTCAAAGAATGCTAACAGTCTTGTTTAATATAGGAGATATAATATCTAAATTTTAAAAATATCAGGCCTACATGGCTACAGAAGAATAAATGAAACATGAACCTCTGTTTTTGACATTAAACAATATATGTGTGATGTTTTGCAAAGCTTTAACATAGACTTCTGACCAACCAATCAGACTACACAATTTATAGAAATACACCAAACACATTTTGTTCCCTAGGAATTTGACTACCTTCAACCTGCAATAATTAAATAACATTTTGCACTTATACATACTAATACTTTTAGAAATATTTGTATTTGCATATATTGTTAGAAGAATGTGCATATAGAACAATCCATTAAAAAAAACTAACTCAAATGGACAATGATTTAGTCAAACTGTGTTTAGCTTGATCAGTGTTCATGCAGATTTATGCCAAATCTTTAAAAAAATGAAAAAAATGGTATTTGGAAATTATTCTGATGTCCTCTCCTCAGAAACAGTGTGGGAAGAGCTGTGAAATCACTTCACCAGCAATCTGTGGTACTGTTTGCATCGCTGCAAAACATAAGCGGTTTGCCAGGGTGATGTCACCTGAATGTTTCAGTGCTGTTTGCTAATTTCTAGACTACAGCTTCTAGAAGGTACCCAAGATTATACTGAAAATATACAAGAACATCTCCTGATCTACCCTTTGTGTGTGACAATGCCACTTGAACATGAAGTCATCTTGTGCTCTGTGACTAATACAAGTTCCTTTTTTAAGCTGAAGATTTACCAGGTGTACTATACCTCCTTATGTAATCGATGTTTTATTTACTGTACTTTCAATCCAGCATCACATAACCACCATATTATATGCACAGAACATTCTTAGCATAGCATCACAGAGGACGGTCTGTATACATACTAACATTTAAAATACTAGTGCCATTAGGGTTTGTTTTTGGGTTTTTTGTTTTGTATATTTAAGCTTTTCTTCTTCCTCCAGAAACTACCACTCTACCAAAAGCAGTAATAATACCAAATAGCTATGGGTGATGCTTGTTGCATTACCAGCAGCTGCCTCACAAGTTCCTTTCCTACTAGATTATGAAACCTCACACCAGCTAGTTACTCAATCTCTCCAGTACACACCCTCGTTGGTTTTAAGGAAAAGGCTGTACTGCTCTCAATGCAACAAGCTAGTTCAAACAGTTTATGCTATAATGCAGTGATTCCCAACTTTTCACCCTCCAGGTGTATTAGACCTCAATTCCCAGAATTCCTGACAGTTGGCCAAAGCTAGTTAGGACTTCTGGAGGGCCTGGAGAACCAAAGGTTCAGAACTATTGATAATAATGCATCCCTTAGGATGAACAGCTACATTCAAGATACTTGTTGTGTGATCCTAGGCTAGTTACTTTCAGCCTAATTTACTCTGAACTTTTTCCAGTGTGTGCATGTGTACAGGCAGGAGATTATGTACATCACAGACTAAGGATGAACCTACAAAGTTGAATTAATGCGTCTGACACCGCTTAACTGTTGGATTAATGCAATGTGATCATGGGGGCTGAAATTTTACAAGGTCTTTAGCCTTCTCTGCCAAAGAGTGCTGGTGCATCACCAAACTACAGATCCCAGTATTCCATATTATTGAGCAAAGGAAATTAAAGCTGTGTCAAACTTCATTAATTCTGAAGTGTAGATGCAATGTAAGATAAACATAATAAGGCTGGCCTCAATGCCTTCTGTCATGAAGACATGGAAACTTTAGTATGAGCAATATCATGCAGTAAGAGAAAGCAACAAAATTTGACCCCAATTAGCCAAAATGTTTGGAACCAAAAGTGATTGAAATTTTGGAGGATTCTGGAATTCAAAATAAGGGAAACTCAATATACATTGGGCTGGCAAAAGAACAAGAATGAAAGTCGATATAATGCCGGAGTAGCTTCTAAAATGCCAAGCCTCTTTATACCCCTTGCAATCTCAAAAAAAACCAAAACAAAACCTTGAACAATTATGAAACAACTCCTTTTTGCCAAAGGCTGCCTCCTCAGCACCAAAAGCTAGTGGGGTGCATGCAAAGACAGAACCGAAGGGGTCAAGGAGGTTTGCAGGAGAGACAAGCAAACTGCAGCAGACACTGTGACAGTGCACAATGCACCTGCGTAGAGGCGGCATCGCCAGCCAGCCAGCTTTTGCACAGGAGAGGAGCTGAATGCTGTTTGACACCAATTTAGCTGCCTTGGCTCAATGCTATGGAATGCACGATTTTGAAGACCCCCAGGATTCGACAGCATTGAGCCATGGTTAAACTGGTATCAAACTGTGCTGATTCTGCAGCGTAGATGTACTCTCAGTCAGGGTGTTGAATTAATGCACTTTGTCAGTGCTTTAACTGCCATGGCTCAGTGCTATGGAATCCTATTTATTTACTTATTTATGACATTTACATGCCACCCTCCTCACCCCAAAGGGGACTCAGAGCAGCTTACAAGTTATATGTACATACAATGTATTATATCATTAGCACAGCACAATATTAGTATTACATGTTACTATATTGTATTATACCACTATGCTGTAATATTACATGTAATATGGAATATAAAATTATTATATTGTATTATTAGTATTATATTAAATTGTAATATTATCAATAATATATGTATATACAATATATAATATTAGCACAGCACAATATTAGTATTATATATTACTATACTGTACTATACCACCATACTGCAGTATTACATGTAATATGAAATATAAATTATTACACTGTATTATTAGTATTATTTTGTATTACATTATAATATTATCAATAACATATGTCTATACAATATATTATATTATTGGCACAGCACAATATAGTATTAAATATTACAATATTGTACTGTATTTCTAACCTGTAATATTATTAGTAATATAAAGTATATGATAATTGGGTTGTTGTAGGTTTTTCGGGCTATATGGCCATTTTCCAGAAGCATTCTCTCCTGATGTTTTGCCTGCATCTGTATTTTGATTTTGTAAACTGATTTAATGTATTTTCAAAGGCTTTCATGGCTGGAATCACTGGGTTGTTGTAGGTATTTCGGGCTATGTGGCCATGTTCTAGAAGCATTCTCTCCTGACGTTTTGCCTGCATCTATGGCAAGCATCCTCACAGGTTGTTATTGTTATTTTGCCTGTGCTACTTGTAATTTTTACATTGTTATGTATGCGTATGTTTTATGTTAATATGATGTTATTGTTATTGTTTGCATTTTCGGTTTGTGTTTTGGTTTTTTTTTCTTTATTGTAATTGTTGTTTGGGCTTGGCCTCATGTAAGCCGCTCCGAGTCCCCATCGGGGAGATGGTGGCGAGGTATAAGTAAAGATAATTATTATTATTATTATTGTGAAATCTGACCTCACTACCTCTGAGGATGCTTGCCATAGATGCAGGCAAAACGTCAGGAGAGAATGCTTCTAGAACATGGCCATATAGCCCGAAAAACCTACAACAATCCAGTGATTATTATTATTTTAATGAAATAAATTACGCCAATGGCCAGAGGTCTGGAGGAGCCCAGCAGCAGCCACCAGTTCTCAGGAGACTCTCCAAGCCCCCATAACCCTAAATATTATTATTATTATTAAACTTTATTTGTACCCCGCTAGCATCTCCCGAAGGACTCGGACTCGATGCGGCTTACAATGGCCAAGGCCTCAACACACAATATAACAATACAAAACCTAAAGCAAATGATCCCAGCCATGAAAGACTTGGCCAATATATGATTATTATATTGTATTATTATGAATATATTGTAATCCTAGGAGCCTTCAGCCATCTCTGCCAAAGAGATGCTAACTCATCGAATTAGAACTCCCAATATTCCACAGCACTGAGACAGGGCAACTGCAGGGGTGTCAAACTGCAGATGCTGCCTTGAACGTGCGACCCTGAGGCTCCCTCCCTTTTCGACGAAGGGTTGCCACTCACCAGACCGAGCCGTAGGCCCCGGAGCCCACCGGCGAGAGGTTCTGGTACCGCTCGGGGACCTCCCAGATGGTCTTGTTCAGCTCCTGCCGGTAGAACTTGGGCCGCTCGTGGGTCATCGCGACCCCGGGCCCGCCCCGCCCAGCGCGGCCTGGAGGGAGGGAGACCCTCGCGCGGGACCCTTGGCTCCGCCCCCTTCAGAGGGGAGGGGGGAAAGGGGAGGGGTCTCTCCCTCACTCACTCACACACACTCTCTCTCTCTCTTTGCTGCGCGCGCGCCCAACCGCTGCCTCAGCTGGCCCGGACGCCTCGTGCCGCTGCAGGGGAAACACGGGGCGCCTCTATCCTTGGGAACTGCTTTTAGGGCCCCCACCCCACCCCCTGCAAAAAGCCTTCCCCCTCAGCGTAAGGAGGCTTGCGGTCGCCCTGGAAGAAGCCCGCTTCAGCCCCGCAACGACGAGGACTCGCCCGCGCCTGACTTCTCCCGACCTCCCCTTCTTCCTTAGATGCCAGAACCAATCGATCGCGGAGGTCTCGCGAGACTTCCGGGTGACGGAGGGAAAAAAAAAAACTCCCAGCGAGATGCCCCAATATGGAACCTAGCTGGAGCGCTCTGGAATCCGCGGAGCAGCGGGAAGGTCTCGCGAGAGCCTGAAGGCGGCGAGAATAAAAGGCGAAAGAAGGCGGAGCTTGAGGGCAGGAAGGATGAGATTTTGTGACAGCTCCAGCTGGTCTATCTCTCTCTCTATATATATACCTTTCTAGTGCCAGGACCCCTTTAATACAGTTCCTCCTGTTGTGGTGACTCCCAACCACAAAATTATTTTGGTTGCTATTTATTTATTTATTTACTTACTTACTAGCCGTCCCCTGCCACACGTTGCTGTGGCCCACATGGGGGTTCTGTGTGGGAGGTTTGGCCCAATTCTATCGTTGGTGGGGTTCAGAATGCTCTGTGATTGTAGGTGAACTATAAATCCCAGCAACTACAACTCCCAAATGTCAAGATTCTATTTTCCCCAAACTCCACCAGTGTTCACATCTGGGCATACTGAGTATTCATGTAGAGTTTGGTCCAGATCCATCATTGCTTGTGTCCACAGTGATCTCTGGATGTAGGTGAACTACAACTCCAAAAGTAGGAGCCCCCGGTGGCGCAATGGGTTAAACCCCTATGCCGGCAGGACTGAAGACCGACAGGTCGCAGGTTCGAATCCGGGGAGAGGCGGATGAGCTCCCTCTATCAGCTCCAGCTCTTCATGCGGGGACATGAGAGAAGCCTCCCACAAGGATGATAAAAACATCAAATCATCCAGGCGTCCCCTGGGCAACGTCCTTGCAGACAGCCAATTCTCTCACAACAGAAGCGACTTGCTCCTGACACGACAAAAAAAACAACAAAAAAACAAAACTCCAAAACCAAAGGACTACAACTCCAAAACCCAAGGTCAATGCCCACCAAACCCTTCCAATATTTTCTGTTGGTCATGGAGTTCTGTGTGCCAAGTTTGGTTCAATTCCATCGTTGATGTAGTTCAGAATGCTCTTTGATTATAGGTGAACTATAAATCCCAGCAACTACAACTCCCAAATGACAAAATAATATTTTTTTGAGTGATGGCCACTCCTTGTATAGTGAGACGTTTGTTGCCAAATTTGGTGTGATTTCGTTCATTGGTTCTTTTGTTTTTAAGGTACTCATTATGCACAGAGCATTTTTATATATATAGATTTCCAGTATTTCTACCCCATCCTTCTCAACCCCTGAAGGGGGACTCAGGATGGCTTAAATTTGGCACAATGTGATGCCATTAAATATAACAAAGCAATATAACAATTAAAACATAAATAGAACATTAAAAAAAACAATAAAAACAGTATTAACCACCGTATCACCATTCCAGTCAAATTCCATATCCAAAGTTGAATGGGGTTACACTCCCCCTGAAGGCGCAGGTTCGGAGCTTGGGAGTGGTTCTGGATTCATCGCTGAGCCTGGAACCCCAGGTTTTGGCGGTGGCCACGTCAACTTTTGCATAGTCAAAGCTTGTGCGCCAGCTACACCCGTACCTTGGGAAGTCTGATCTGGCTATGGTCGTCCACGCTCTGGTCACATCCCGAATAGATTACTGCAACGCACTCTACATGGGGATGTCTTTGAAGACGGTTCGGAAACCACGACTTCAATTTCTTGCTAAAACACAGGAGGGATGAAGCCGATCTACCTCGTTGTGAAGCGAGTTCCACAGGCAGAGGGCTACAGCCAAGGAGGCCCTGTCTCTCATTCCCGCCAGACGTATTTGTTATGCTGGCGGGAGCGAGAGCAGGGTCTCCCTGGATGATCTTAAACTGCAAAGCAGGACATAGAGGGAGATGCGTTCAGACAAGTAAGTTGGGCCAAAACCGTATAGAACTTAATAGGTCAAAACCAGCACTTTGAATTGAGTTCAGAAGTGTATCGGCAGCCAATGGAGCTGGCACAACAAGGGGGTGGTGTGCTCCCTGTATGTCGCTCCAGTTAGTAATCTGGCTGCAGCCCGGTGGACTAGTTGAAGTTTCCGAACAGGCTTCAAAGGCAGCCCCGTGTAGAATGCGTTGCAGTAATCAGTTCGGGATGTAACAAGAGCGTGGACTATTGCCAGATCAGACTTCCCAAAGTACGGGTGCAGCTGGCACACAAGCTTTAACTGTGCAAAAGCTCCCCTGGCCACCGCTGAAACCTGGGGTTCCAGGCTCAGCAATGAATCCAGGATCACTCCCAAGCTGCGAACCTGCGTCTTCAGGGGGAGTGTAACCCCATCCAACACAGGATGTAACCCTATGCCCTGTTCGGCCTTTCGACTGACCTCTGTCTTGTCAGGATTCAATTTCAATTTGTTAGCCCTCATCCAGTCCAACACAGTGGCCAAGCACTGGTTCAGTAGCTGAACAGCCTCCTTAGTAACGGGTGGGAAGGAGTGACAGATTTGGACGTCATCTGCTACTTCATAACTGTAATGTTGCTACTGTTATGAATCGTCGTGTAAATATCTGATACGTAGGATGTATTTTCATTTACTGGACCAAATCTGGCACAAATACCCAATATGCCCAAATTTGAATACTGGTGGGGCTTGGAGTGGGGGGGGGGGGGGTTGATTTTTGCCATTTGGGAATAGTAATTGCTGGGATTTGTAGTTCATCTACCAAAAAGCATTCTGAACTCCACCAACGATGGAATTGAACCAAACTTGAAACACAGAACTCGCATGACCAACAGAAAATACTGGAAGGGCTTGGTCGGCATTGACCTTGAGTTTAGGAGTTGTAGTTCAGCTACATCCAGAGAGCACTGTGGACTCAAACGTGATGGATCTGGACCAAACTTGGCATGAATACTCAATATTCCCAAATGTGAATACTAGTGGAGTTTGGGAAAAATAGACCTTGACATTTGGGAGTTGTAGTTGCTGGGATTTATAGTTCACCTACAATCAAAGAGCATTCTGAACCCCCCCCCCCCGCATGGTCTTTCGCAGCCCCTCCAATACCCCCTCGTGATCCCCCCAGGGGCCCCGATCCCCAGGTTGAGAAACACTGCTCTACACTGTAGAACAGGGATGGACAAACTTTGACCTTCCTGGTGTTTAGGACTTCAACTCCCACAATTGCTTTTTTTTTTTTAAATTAAATTTACATATATTAACACATTACAGTGTAAACAGAACACAAAACAATTACAAAACAATTACAAACACATAATCCCACAACCAAGGCCTGAACAAGTATAATTTCCTTTGCCACTAATTTATGAGTCAACCAGTAAACAGATGTCATATCCAAAATTCCTGACCAACAAGGTTGTAGGCTGTTAAGAATTGTGGGAGTTGAACAGTCCAAAACACCTGGAGGGCCGAAGTTTGCCCATGCCTGCTATAGGAATGCGGTTTGACACCACTTTTACCTGCCCTGGCTCAATGGCACAGAATCCTGGAAGTTGTACTTTGACAAGGCATACACACTCTTTGGCAGAGGAGGCTAAAGCTCTTGTCAAACTACAGCTCCCTGGACGCCACAACAGTTGAAGTGGTGCCAAACTGCAATTCATTCTACAGTGTAGAAGGTGCACCCTGGGAAATCCAAGATTACATTTGTGGCTTTCCTGCCAATTCTTCAACTAGATGGTGCAACTTTCTCTCGCAGTCCTTGTGTTTATGCTAATCCCATGGGATATTATTTTTACACCTAAGAATTATGCATCTGGTATAGTCTGGCAATTTTTTTGTTGCTGTCACTCAACCAAGATGCTTTTATAAAAACAGCTTTTAAACATGAATTTTAATGTCCTTTGTTTAATCCGGGTTGTGTTTTTTTGCATTTTAATACACATTTTATAGAAATAAATTTTAATATGTATCTTTTTATAGATATACATTTTATTTTTTAAATATTTTTATTACTTTATCATAATTATTACATTTATTATACATTTGTTTATAGCAGTTACATATTATTCAACACCCTCTTTAACATATAATCTTTTTCTTCTGCTTAAGCATTTCCCCCTTTTTCCCCCCACCACTGTGCTCCCCTCCCCCCATTTCAAGCCACAACTTTTACATATCATCTGTCCAAAATCTCATTTCTTCTTGTGGCGGTAACCTTCCTTCTTTGTTTTTTAAACCATTTACAACAAATTTACCCCATACAACATCAAAATCACTTTGTTTCCATATACTTTTTTAAAACTTTTAATATACATGTCAGCTTATCATTTATTGCCAATTTCCATGCTTCCTTGTACCACTCCTCTATTTGTATATTTATTTCTTTTTTCCAGTTCCTTGCTATGAGCAGTCTTGCTATTGTTAATAAGTTTGTTATCGCTTCTTTATCCTCCTTTTTCAATTGTTTGTTGTTATATAGTGATAATAAGGCTATACTAGGACTTTTCTCAATTTTCATATTCATTATATCTTCTATTTCTCTAAATACTTTCTCCCAAAAATTATTTACATATTTACATTGCCACCACATATGTATATATGTTCCTGGTTCTTGACACCCTCTCCAACAATTTTTTGAATTATTTTTATTTATATATGCTATTCTTACTGGTGTCAGATACCACTTCCATATTAGCTTATAATAATTTTCTTTAACCCGTATTGATAAGTTTTTTAAATGTCTTTGTCCCCATAATTGTTGCCACTCTGTTTCGTTTATTTTTATCCCTAAATCTTCTTCCCAAACCTCTTTAAGGATGTTATTATTTGTATTTCCTTCCTTTATTTCAATTATTATCTTATATATTTTACTAGTTTGTTGTTGTTCATTCGTTCAGTCGTCTCCGACTCTTCGTGACCTCATGGACCAGCCTACGCCAGAGCTCCCTGTCGGCCGTTACCACCCCCAGCTCCCTCAAGGTCAGTCCAGTCACTTCAAGGATGCCATCCATCCATCTTGCCCTTGGTCGGCCCCTCTTCCTTTTTTCTTCCACTTTCCCCAGCATAATTGTCTTCTCTAGGCTTTCCTGTCTCCTCATGATGTGGCCAAAGTACTTCAACTTTGTCTCTAGTATCTTTCCCTCCAGTGAGCAGTCGGGCTTTATTTCCTGGAGGATGGACTGGTTGGATCTTCTCGCAGTTATTATTATTATTATTATATTTACTAGTTATTCCTCTCAAATTTTCATGCTCTTCTACAACCCTTCCCTTCTGTATTATTTGTTCAAATTGGTTAAGGGTTAGGGTTAGAGATACATTTTAATATGTGTATTTGTGGTATTTTTATAATGTTTATGTGTCTTAATTATTCTGTAACCTACCTCGAGGAGAGGCGGGTAAGAAATAAAATTATCATTATCATTATTTGCTGTTTTTCATCTTTTTATGAGATCCATGTTGCCAGTACATTGGACCTATCATCATCATCATCATCATCATCATCATCATCATCATCTCTGTTGGAAATGCAACAATGTTTAGCACTGAAGAATGAAGAATGCCTCACTGTGGGCAGTAATAATAGGGTTAGATAGTTTGAGTGACTGGAGGAGTCCTCCCTCTTTTGCATAACTATTTGAACCCCTAACTGATACTCTTAGGTCCCTTCCACACAGCTGAATAGAATTCCACATTATCTGCTTTGAACTGGCAGTGTGGACTCAGATAACCCAGTTCAAAGCAGATGTTGTGGGTTACTCTGCCTTGATATTCTGTGTTGAAGCACCCTAAGTTTCTCCGCCTCTTCTTTCCATGAGTCCTCTCTCAACCTTCCAAGGTGTATCTAGTTTAAATTAGATTCACTGAGTAACCTTCCTGTCTTAGAATGGCGTTCTTACAATAAAGCTTACATTTCCTTTTTCCAAACAATTGGTGTGTTTGCTCCTTAAATCCAGATCACTAATCATTTAACCACAGAACGCACTCTAACATTTTATTCCCCAGTTTTCTCTCTTGATCAAGGCCCAAAGCAACGTCTGGGGTTTGCTTTTAGGAACCATGGATATCATACATTGGTATATATTTGTACCTGTGTCAATTCTTGAAAATTGCCAGAACAGGTGGCATCAAGTGTTTATTTCTATTTTCAAATGAAAACCATATATTCACTAAAATAATGCTTTATTTCAGTAGCATACATAAAGTTCAAATTCATGCACAACATATGAACTTCAACTCAATAGCTGAAGTTCATGTAACATCCTATAGATCAGTGGTTCTCAATCTGTGGGTCCCCAGATGTTTTGGCCTTCAACTCCCAGAAATCCTAACAGCTGGTAAACTGGCTGGGATTTTGGGGAGTTGTAGGCCTAAACACCTGGGGACCCACAGGTTGAGAACCACTGCTCTATGCAGTGGTAAGCTGGCGGTCAACTAGTGCTAGGAAATGTAGGTCCAGCACTGAAAACAATAGAGCAAAACAACAGAGGGGAAACAATCAGGCACATCTAATCACCTCTCAACAAAAGTTTGCCCCAGGCACTGCCGGGCCATCAAATGCTAATCAAGGTGGTCAGTTTATTTATTTATTTACTTTATTTGTATACCGCTCTTCTCAGCCCTTAGGCGACTCAGAGCGGTTTACAACAGTTTAGATATACAGTTGAAACATTCACACCTAGCTCCAACAGACAAGAGTTCTTTGCCCCACCCTGGTCATTCCACAGATATATAAACCCTTTTCCCTAGTTCCAACAGACCTCACTACCTCTGAGGATGCTTGCCATAGATGCAGGCGAAACGTCAGGAGAGAATGCCTCTAGACCATGGCCATATAGTCTGAAAAAACCTACAACCTTTTGTCTTCGTAATATTTTACTTTGATTCGTCTTTCAAGAACTCTGACTTTGTCTTTTGTTTCAAGTAAACTTATTTGGTTAACTTTATTCCTGTCTCAAGAGTCTTTATTTTTAAAGAACTGAAGTACATCAGAGGCAGGCATGTAGCCAGAGGGGGCTTGGGGGGCTTCAGCCCCCCCCCCCCCGAAATTTTGATGGTGGTCCGCGAGAAGGCCTTACTGGTGCATTATTTAAACTGTTATGTTTATTCATATCATGATCTGATCACCATACTCAATATATCCCATATGCATGGAGGTATTGGGGTAATGATACAAAAGGTTTGCTAGGCTAGACCCTCTTTCACTCAGACTCACCCCCCCCCCCCCCCCCCGAAACAAAATCCTGGCTACGGGCCTGATCAGAGGGTATACCGATAGCCACCGGGCATAGCCAGCTATATAGTTTTCCTTTCATCCCGGCGTGCCATCACATGGTCTTTAGCCTTCTCTGCTGATGCCTCTCTAAACTACACATCCCAGGGCTCCATAGCCGTCCACAGAGGTAGCTAAAGTGGTGTCAAACTGTGCAAACGCTACAGTGTGGAGGTATGCAGGGCTAGTTCAGTTTGCTCCGAACCCCTGCGCCTCCTGCTGTCTCGGGGCGCTCACAACCGGGAACAATGCATGGAAGCCGGGCCCACTTGCTCGTAGGCGCCCAGCCCCAAATGGCCCGAGAGGCTTCCAAACTCTCCCGCAGGCAGAACCGGCCAGGCGGCGAGGACGTCACAATCCCAGCGGCGGCGGCACCTGACGTGGCCCCAGTTTTGACCTTTCCCGGCCTCCCCGTCCCCACCAAACCCCGGCTTCTCCTCGAGCGGGGAGAGCCGTCGGGGCCGAGGCAGACCGCGCATGCGCTCCGCCCATGGGCCAAGGGGAGTCGGGGGAGGCGCCCGACGCGTGGATCCACCTCCTGGCATTCATGCAGAGCAGGGGGCGGTGCGCCAGCCGCTCGGAAGAGCCATGGAGGGGGCCCCTCCTCCTCCCCCCTAGCAGCCCCAGCTCGGAAGGAAGTGACAGCAACCGCGGCGAGGAGATCTGGTGGCGCGCGCAGCGGCGCGCGAAGATCCCGGCCGTGCGCACGCGCCGGCCCGCCCGCCCTCTCCCTGCGCAGGCGCAAGGGGCCTCTTTAGAGCGCACGCGCGAAGGGGGGACCGGGGGACCTCCATCACTGGCCGCCATGGAGCGGAAAGGTGAGTCTGGGCGAGCTTCTCCGGCTGGCGAGGCGCCCCTCTGCCTCCATCCCCCGCCCCCCAATGCTGGGCCTTCTTCACCCCCTTTGGCTCTGCTTTTCGTTGCCCTCGGGCCAGGAGCCACACGAACGGGTTTTCCGTTTTCTCCTCCGTGCCTTTTCCTTCAGAGCTCTCCCTGGGAGTTAACAGTTTTAGGCCTGCCTTTCGGGCACCTGAGGCTTGGCGCAGATCCTCGAGAGGGTGGCATAATAGCATGCTTCCACGTAGGCTATTATTACTTATCCTTTTATCCGAAACGCAGGGGAATGTATTGTTTTGTTTTTATTTTATTTGTGGATTTTGAGATACTTGCATTTCTATATATACATAATAAGTTCGGCCAGATTTTGATTTCATTTATTTATTTATTTATTTATTTATTTGTTGGATTGGACTGGATGGGTTTTGGAGTACCTATATTTGTGTATACATACAGAATGAACCTGTCTCGGAGGTTAAGACAGTGTGGGGAGGCCCTGCTCTCAATCCCACCCCCTCGCAAGTGTGGCTGGTGGAGACGAGAGACAGGGCCTTCTCAGTGGTGGCCCCTCATCTGTGGAACTCCCTGGTGATAGTACGATAGCTGGGTCCGGAAGCTCCGAGCGTTACGCACATTCCGCAACAGCGGTTGTGAATAAGGGACGGGGAGAGTGGCACACTGAGGGTGGGAATATACCTCAATTTGGTGGAAGGATAGAAAGGAGGGATAAAGTTTAGGGAAGGCTTAGCATTTGGGGTAGGGTAAGGGTTAGGATTAGGGTTAGGATTAGCCTTAGAGGTTAGGTTTAAGGTTTTGGTTAGGATTAGGGTTTAGGTAAGGGTAAGGGTTCGGGTTTTACCATTAAAGAATCCCTATATTCCTTTTATAATATCTGTATTCCATTCTGCGTTGTGCAAACAGCATTCCCAAAGGAGCGAAGCGGAAAGAGCGTAAGGCTCAGAGCTTCCGGACTCAGCTTTCATACTATTACCAACTCCCTTCCCAATGAAATCAGGTCAGACCCCTTTCTCCTGTTCTGTAGGGAAAAAAAAAACTTAAAACATGGTTGTGGGACCAAGTATTCAAGCAGTAGATGCAGCAGCAAGAGTGAGAATGATTTTATGTGGCCGACAATGGACTGACCTTGGATTATGATTTTGAATTTGGGCAATTTTTAAATTGATGTTTTAATAATTAATTTATTAACAATTTGAAATATTGGCTTTTGCCTATAAAGTCCTAAGTTGTTCTGGCCCAGTTTACTGTCCGAATGTGTCTCCCCCCATAAACCATCTCGGAGGTTAAGATTGTCCGGGGAGGTCCTGCGTTTGATCCCACCCCCTTCGCGGGTGTGACTGGTGGGGGCGGGAGACAGGGCCTTCATGATGGTAGCCACTCGGCTGTGGAACTCCCTCCCCAGAGAAATTAGATCAGCCCCCTCCCTCCTGACCTTCAGGAAGAAAGTTAAATCCTGGTTATGGGACCAAGCATTTGCACAGTGATTCCTAGTGCAACAATAAAAGTTTCAGTGCAGTAATGACAATTGGAGTGGCTCCTGGTATATGTTTTTTAATGGTGTGATTTTAAGTAATTGTTTAATTGATATGTTTTTAATGATGTGATTTTAAATTAGATGTTTTATTTCTATATGTATTCAAGACATTGAATTGTGCCTTTGTTGTAAGCTGTCCTGGGTCCCCTTCCTGGTGAGAAGGGCGGGATATAAATGAGATAAATGAATAAAATTGGAGATGAGTCTCAGGTTTAAATGCGAACTTCAATGATGTTTTCATATACAGAGCCTGAAGGTAATTTTATGCAATATTTTTGTGCATAAAACAAAGTTGGTGTACACTGTGGTATTAATACAGACTGACACCACCTAACAGCCATGGCTGAATGCTATATAATTCTGTAGTTTTATAGGTTCTCTAGTCTTCTAGCCATTAGTACCATATGGCTGCTACGATACATCTTAAATCAGTGGTTCCCAACCTGTGGTCTGTGGACTACCAGTGGTCTGTAAGAACGAAAATATGTTCTGCAGCCTCATCATTATTACACTGTAGCCTCAAAACCATGTAGTAACTAGAGTGACTGGTCTCGCGAAACCCTCTTATAGTGACAAGGCAATGGGAATGTCGAGAAGGGAGAGGCTGACTACCCAAAAAAGATTACTACTACCACATTATTAAATATGAAAGATTACTACTACCACCTCGTTATTAAATATGGTTTTCTGTGCGTGAGAAGATGGCAAATGTTCTATATCAGAAACTAGAGTTGATTTGGTCTATCCAATGCAGTTTCCTGAATCAGAAGCTCAAATAACCAAATGAATCTAAAGTTGACCAAAAACCGATTCGTAGCCCTTTTGGTACTAATGTTGGAGAGTGGTCCCTGGTCAAAAAGAGGTTGAGATCCACTGTCTTAAATGAACACTTGGGTTAGCTATTTTTAATGTAATATATTTTAACTGCGTTTTGGGGTATATATTTTAATGTTTACTCATGTTTTAGTGTATTGTCTTTTCATTCCAATGTTTAATTTTTCTATTATAAGTTTACTGTTGTTACTGTGCACTATTCTGTATTGTTTTTGATGTGTTTGCACTTACCTAGGCATTGAATGATTGCCTTTTTTGTGTTTAAACCATCCCGAGCCCTATTATCTTCTGTGCCACAGAATGCTGATGCTCACCAAACTACAAATCCCAGGATTCCATAGCATTGAACCATGGCAGTGAACGTGATGTCAAACTGTTTAACCCTATAATGTAGATGCACTCAAAGGTGTCACTATCTCAGCCACCCATATGGATGCATTTTGGAATTCTGGATGAGAGATGCCCAACTTCTATTTAGTGGGATTTAAAGATTCTGGTAAAAAGTGTGCATGTCTCCAGTTGGGTTTGCCTGACTTCATGCTGCTTCATTGGGAAGAAAGGGCTGCTCTTAAAGCAGAGTAACTCTGATGAGTATAATTATTATTTCTCTTTCCACAGTGGAGATTACTTGACTCTTTTATTCTTTCATGTCTTCCCAGTTCTAGCTTTGCAAGCCCGGAAGAAGAGGACCAAAGCTAAGAAAGAAAAGGCCCAAAGAAAGTAAGTGTAACCACTTTCTCCACCTGTTTTTCAAACCAGGACAAGATGGTACAGTTTGAAGTAATGGGAGGTCTTTTTAAAATGTACTGCCATGGTTCAGTTTTGTGGGATCCAAGGATTTGTAGTTTGGGGAGGCAACAATATTCTTTGGCTAAAAGTACAACTCCCATGAATCTATAGCATTGAGCCATGGTAGTTAAAGTGGGGTCAAACTGTATGATTTACCTTCCATCATAATAAGAGAGTTGTGGAACTTATATCTTAAACCTTTGTAAATACTAGTTTGTGCATCAGGATCTGAACATCTACCTTTGTTGGAAAATAAAGCAAATAAATAAATAATAGGCACGGTTTCTCTGTAACAGAATACAATTGAAAAGACCACAAGCACTCCCTGAAGAAGAAATTACTTTAAATATTTCAGGAGATACCTATCCTTTCTGTTTTTAACCCTATTATTGGAACTAACACACAGATTTGACAATAAAATACTCCACATTTTTTATTTGTAAATTTTTTATTTTTTGAATGTTAACTTTTATTTACCAAAATCACCTGAATGCCCTATCCATGTCCCAAATAATGTTACTAATTCACCATTGACCTAATTGTTGGTTGCTAAAATGTAGCATTTCCAGTGATTGACAGTTCCTTATTTGAAGTAATTTCTAAACACAAGTATGTTCCTGTTAGTGCAATATAGCACAGGGTTTGCTTCATGAAACTTGCAGTCCTCTTTAATAGCTCCACTGAAAGCAGTAGGCATTAGATTCCTCCCATTTTCCCAACAATCCTTCTTTCCAGCTCTCCAGAGCAGATAGTGAGGATTTTTGGAGGCTACATAGGAATGGGAAGGTATTGTCCCTTGCTGGATCCCCTCTTATTCCACCAGCAGATCTACACAGTTGAATTCAGACTCTTCTAAAGTGAAAGACAAAAGAGAATCCACCCATCTCTGACAAAGACAGAAAGAAAAACATGTCTTGCCCTTGATTTGAATACAAAGTATTTTACTACTCTGGTAGTTGCTTTTGGGATTGGTCTGGGTTAACTGAATTGATAATCTAGTCCTGTTCATCCTTTCTAATAGTGCGATGGACCAAGTACACGATAGGGTAACTTCTCCCACTGGCTGGAATGTGGCTCAAATTCAATTATTCTTTTTTTGTGATGGCTAGTGTTGATAAATCTTCAGATTGATGGTTACTTACAATTAACTACTAGGGTAGATAAGTAGAATTTGTATTTACTTGTTATGTCTGTTTAAAGAACCTAGTTCTTTGCTTGCCTCTTGAAGGAAAATTGAAGGGGCAGATGAAGAGTTCAAATGTTACAGATGGTTCTTGCCTAGTTCTGGGTTGTAAGGGAAGTAATCCACATTACGGATTTCTCCTCTGACTCCTACAAAAGTTGACATTTGTTGAATGCAATCTGCATCATTTTTCCTGCAAAATTTGTTAACATTAAGATCCCTAAAATCCAAAATGTTTGATTCTGCCTTGGTTTGAACTTTTACAGACAGGACAATAGAGTGTTGTGATCAAAAAAAGATGTTGAGTTAAGATAGCAGCATTTGGAAATTGAACTTGAAGCTTCCAAAGCTCTTCAATATAATAGAAACTAGCTTTTGTGCTCAAGATTTTCACACACCCTTGATTAAGGGAATTACATGGTTCTTAGGTCACATACATTTTGAATGCCACTGTTGCAGTCCTTTCATTATGGGGCTTCAAAATAAAGATTGCACCTCTGGAAGCCTTCATCCCTCTAAAACAAGAGTTGTGCTAGCATCTTGCTTCAGCCCCCTTACCAATTTTTGTGACTGGCTGGCCATGCTTACAGATGTGAAGGCCTGGGGAAAAATGGAAAATTTGCAGTTGCTTTCTTTAAAAACCATGTTTCCTTGGAAAATTTGGAAATAGATTATGAGAACCTTTCTTTTAGAATGGTATGTTGTTCATTCGTTCAGTCGTCTCCGACTCTTCGTGACCTCATGGACCAGCCCATGCCAGAGCTCCCTGTCGGCCGTTACCACCCCCAGCTCCCTCAAGGTCATTAGAATGGTATATGAACTATTAAAGCATGGTATTTTTTTATCCCAGACCAGGTTGTAGATAATGTATAGTAACAAAGTGACTTTCCTTTTTTAAATATCTTTTTTAGTATTTCCACTTCCTCCCCCCTCTTCAGAATTTGCACAAATTTGCACAAACATTAGGACTTTCGTGATTCCAATAGTAAGTTAGATGCAGAATGGAAAATGTCCCCCAGACTTTTCAAATTGTCCATACCTGCCCTAAAGGAATTTATTGACTGCAAATTCACTTACAGTAATTATACACTGCAAAAATATTTTCAAATTGATATAGTAGGTTGAGTTGAGTGACTTTTATAACATGCTTAGACAAAGTAAGATAGGCACAACTTTCTGGGAATTATACTTTTGAATCATGTTCTTAGGAGAGTAAAAATGTTCCTATTCTTGTCTAAATGTCAAGACAATAGTGATGGGTAACACCAAGCAGTTTTAGAATCTTAAGATAGCTAGAGTTGTCCTTTTACACAGAATAACAAAACAACCATAGAAATCTGAGTTGTGCTGTAACATGATTTTAGAAGTCTTACAACATACTGTTCCCTGCATTATGAAATCCTATAAGGTATGACGAAGCCCCATTTCTTCTTAGTGTTGGCATATGTATAGTATGCTATTCTGGTAAACTGGAGTCTTAACTTTACATCCTCATACCTCATCCATTAACTGCCCAGGTTGATCTTTGGTATCAGAGTTGCTGCTTGTGTTGGGAAAGACGATAATTGTCTAGAGTTGATTGAAATGATCCTTTGTTCATAGCAAGCACAAACTTTGAGAAAACCGCTTCCTTTTATGGATTTTTAGCAATGACCATTGTTAGTACATATATAGAGCTGTCAGTGATTTATTGAAAACCTTCTCAAGTGCAGTGATGAGGAGATACATAGAAAGATCTAAACAAGTAGTGCAGGCTTGAACATAAACATGCAAACCATATATAGAATATTTATAATTTGCTTGCCCCTACATACTTCAGTATTGGTCATCTGTTTTCTGAAAAGAGACAACTTTTGTCAGTCATCTATGCCTCAGAATATTTCTCATAACCAATCAAAAGGTTATTGGTAAGTTGCAAAAAACATATGTTGCATTAGACAAGATCTTTGTTAGAAAAGATTATCTGCAAAGAGAAGGACTCCAACTCGTTCGTAACATTAACAATACAGGCAGAATGTGTTTATTTATGGAACTACAACCTATGATTCCTGCAAAATACTTGCACTGCCTTTTAGCCTGGTATTCTCTAGCAGTTAATGCTCATGCATAATTTGTATTGTTATATATATACCTTCAGATAGCCTAATGAGACACAAACAGACAATGATTTTTGAAAATATGTGTGTTCGGTTGTTAGCCTGAATTCATGCTGTTTCCTGTTAGTTAGTTGCCCATCCTCCATATACTTAGATTTATTTGTATTTGGTATAGTTTTACAGGTGGTGAACAAAATAATGTTGAATAGTTAACTATAGCAGTAATGTATGTTCCCTTTATTTCTTATTGGCTGTGAACACATGTGTACATTAGCCATAGGGCACCACCCCCTCCTAAAACACTGCAAATCATGCACTATGCACACTTGTTGTTCTCTCTCATTCCTCTGTAGTATCTTCCCTTGCAATAGAATTAAAAAAAATATTTTTTTTACCCCTGTGACCTCCTTTTTTCCAAAGAGCCTGGGTCAACCAGAAGCTTATGTGAAGCATATAACATTCAAACATTCTTAATCATAATTCCTAGATGACCTAACTAATACAATAAAGTCATTGTGAGGTATCAACAGCTAAGTCATTGTGAGGTATCATTTGCTTGAACCCTGAAATGAAAGGAGTTAGTTTGACACAGTGGTGCATTGCATTTTATAGACACTTTCCTGAACACCATCCTTTTTTTTACACCTTTATAGAAGCATAACTCTTTGGCCAGACTTTAGAGGAAGAAGAATGCAAAACCTTGACAGCTCCCAGCAAGCCACAGCCCTGTTCTGTAGTTGAGCTAGGCACTGCAGTTATGTGGTAGACACTGGGCAGATACTAGAGGTGTAGACAGTGATATAGGGATAGATGTGTGATGTGGAGGAGTCTGCCGCCTGTCATTGTGACTCATTCTCCTTTTACTGGTTGGTACTACGAATCAATTCTCTATTTTTAGTGTATTACTTTTTTATATCTTACCATTCTCCTGAGATAAGATCCATAAAAATTATAGAAATGGCGTTCAGCTTTATGGCATATGTTTGGCCCCTAGGCACCTGCAAAAACTGTAGTAATATGCATATGATTTTGGCTTGTATTTAAAACAGTGTAAACAGTGAAGGTGACTTTTACCTCTGAAAAGTGGGTTGAATTTTGTTCACATAGAGCCAGCTCACAGAAATCAGTAACTCTTAATAAACATTCAGTACCTTAATGTACTGAATATATTTATCTGTCTGTAGTGTCTGCTATCCTTTTCTTCCACTGTCGCTGGCATTCTGCCTCGAGTGTGGAAAAATATACCAAAGGACAAGAAACTCCTGTCTAATTGCTATTTCTACATAGTTGTTCTTATACTCACTCTTTTTTTCTTCTTGTGTCTAGAGGGATAAGCAGGAGAGTTTATAATACTAGAAGATAACACATGAGAAAGATCTCTCTCTTTTTCTCATACACATACAATTGTCACCTGATTTTAGGAAGCATGAATTCTTATTTAAAAGTCCACAAAGTTTGCAATGAAACACTTGGATGTTGATAATTACATCTTAAAATGAAAAGAAATACAACTTGATTACTCTTTTAAATAAAAATTGACCATGTGGCACTCTCTTACTTGCATATTGCTCTAGTAGAGGGTGAACAAAATCTAGCCTGCAGACCCCAAGTGCTTTGCCAGACTTGTGTGGCCCCCAAAATGCAGCCCTTGC